TCTATGTTGTTTAAACGTCTGGATGATTTTGCCCTAATAAGACAACACTGTATTTTTTAAAAGGGACTGGACTCGTCACTGAACATCACTTTTCGTGCAAGGCATTGCTGAATCCACCTGTAATTCAATTCCAACAGGAACTCCAGTCCAGTACCGCTAGTGACTAAAATGAGCCGCACTGAAGGTCCCCTAAATAAATATTTAGGGCCCTCGAGGTCAAAAAGGGGATCAGTTTAACGATCGCCTAATCTCTTGATCTCCTGCGCTTTTAAGCGAAAAGTGTACGTTCTCGAGATAGAAATGGACTATTTATGCTAAAAGGAACTATGTGCATGTGGTTTGCGTGCAACACTGCAACCTAGTTCATTTTAGCATGAATACGTCCAAATATCATAGATTGACGTCTTTTTTAATGAGGCGGAATGAAGAGAATGTTCCATTCTCCTCGTGGTCGATGGAAAAAATTGTACCCTCTTCAAAGTAATAAATATCGACGGTGAAACTACCAAACCAAGCGTATCTCGTTTGCGGTGTTTAAAAATCTACACTCGCATTTTATTTTTTTGAAGTAGACCAAATCAATATCATTCCTTGAAATTTTCACAGAATTTTCTCCGCACGAAGAGGAAAAATCACAGAAATTTTCAAGACTGGACGTTAAGTAGTTTTTCATTTAAAAAATAAAGTATGACAGGAAGTCTGCGACGTCGCAAACCGAGATACGTGGTTTGGTAGTTTCACCGTCGATATGCGGTTTTTCTACCTGCTGATCCTTCCAATCCGCAATAAAGTTAGTATTCAAATTAAGTAAGAAAACCATGATGTTAGAAAATATAGTCGTGCAATTTCTGGTCCGTATGCCTCGGTCGGTGATAACTATCGAAAGGAGGCAATACTGTTTCTCCTTCGTTAAATCCATAACAAATGGACGTACATTTACTAAAAAGAACTATGTTCATTGAGCTTCCGTACAACATCGTTCCTTTTAGCATAAATATCCATCCACATATTGCCGCTCCACTGAAATATGGGCATATCTCAGTTTTCACGAAAGCGCTGTTTTCCATATTAAGCCAAGTCTTCTGGGGCTCATGAAGAAATTGCGATACACTTTTACGTTAGAGAAGCCACGATATGATCAATTATACAGGTGAAAAAGTCAATTCTAGATGAGGGAGTCCTGCTCACCTACAATCCGCATTTATTCCGGATTTAAAAGAAGGGAAAATTATGTTGTCCAGGGCCGGATTCACCTACTTGCGGCCCATGGGCCGCCTATATTTTGCCGCCCCCTTCTCGTTCGTTTTGAAACTTGATAAAAACCATCAAATGAACGTGCCAGCGGGGGAGGGGTGCATAAGACGCATTTACTCGTGTTGAACACATTTTTTGGGAAAACCCTGTCAACACTACTAGCAAAAGTTCACGAAACTTTGCGCGAAAGTTAAGTTTCGAAAACGTATCTCTGTGTGGACAAGGCCTTCCATTCATAAGAAATGAACGAAAAAATTATGGAAGAACAAACATAAATGTGGTTCAATGATTTTAACTTCCGCCGCCGCGCCGCGCCGACCGCACCGTGTTGGACGCAATGCGTGAAGTATTCACGCAGTCTTGTAGGCGCTATGCGTTTCACGCTGACCGCACTGTGTTTGGCGCAATGCGTGAAGCATTTATGCATTCTTGTAGGCGCTATCCGTTTCACGCTGACCGCAATGACCGCACAGTGTTTGATGCAAAGCGTGAAGTATTCGTGCAGTCTTGTAGGCGTTAATATGTGTTACAGTTACATGCCAATCGCCGCCCCGGCGAAGGCTTCTCTTTTTCATCTCAAGTCCTCGTCATCATTGCTCTGTGCGCCGCGCCGTTTCAGGCTAAATTGCGTGTTTGGTTTCTCTCTTAATTCGACTACTTAAAGGTGCTGTCTCTTGTATCGCTGAAAGATGACAAAATTAAAAATTACTGTACTCTCAGGAAATGAGAGATTTTGTCGCCTTTTCTCGTTTGTAATTTTGTTTTTATAAATCCGATTTTTTTTGTACCTACACTTTAAAAAATTGCAAATTTTTGCCGTCCCTTAGATTTGCCGCCATGGGCCGCGGCCCATGTGGCCACCCCCTTAATCCGGCCCTGGTGTTGTCCACTTACAAAAATCCCCGCTGCAGATCCTTTTCCCCGATGGATATTCATAAGTATACTGGAATCCCTACATTACACTGTGCGTTAATTTTTTATTCCGTCTGGAATTGGCAAGAGTGACATTTACCATTTGGACGTATCTATGTTAAAAGGAACTATGTTGCACACAAACCCTATCCACATAGTTCCTTTTAGCATACGTCCATTTTAAGACGTCACCTTCGCCCCAACAAGTGTCGGTCGTCGCCTTGTTGCAGCCGATGAACGTCAGATCAGTATCAGAGCCGAGCTGCTAAATCGTAGCTTGGCTCACAAAAGGGCGTAACCACACTTTGACATGAGCCCGGGAATGTATTAGGTTTTATGGACGACAGGGTTCATAGCGAATCGTGGTTACGCCTTTATGTCAGGAAGGTCCGCAGCTGACGCTACGCGACGGTTCCGTCATCGTCATCTCATGTATCGACCAACACAATGTTGCCAAACCGCACTCATGGATTAGTGGCGCCAGTTATGTGTCATCTTCTAATATCATTATTCGTAAAAAATGAAAGAGCTTTGAGCAGCTAAATTCAAACCATTTGACAACAACGGTATCGATTATTAATCAAAAACTTGTTCGCCTTGAATCAAACCACGCGAAATTCGATATTTTATCTCCCCTTTCACCTCTTTTCTGCCTCTTCATTCGCAGTTGAGGAACTTAGAATGTCGTGGAATTGAACAAAAAATAGTGTCATCCATGTCCGCGTTCTTAAAGTCATCCGCATCACCGCACCCTTTAACTGTCAATACCTATTCAGAATCTCAAAAAGAACTGCATTGCTTGCCTATTTTACATGAATTCTTGTGGACTTACTTGAGATTACATCAGAAAAAAAGCAAGTTATTTTTTGAATTTGCTGATTTTGCAAAAAAGAATATCTCATTGTCTATACTGACGTGCTAAGGAAGAACGTCGTATGAACATTCGAGAGTTGCCAAATTTCCTCCGATAAAATATCAATTTATGAGGAGAGTCATGAATATTTTTTATTCAAATTTTAAGGTATTGTAGACTGAACTGGGAATAAAATTCTGTGAAAAAGTTACAGAAGGACATCCACAAGTATTCCCGGAAATTCGCATTTTATTGAAGGAAAAGTGGCAACGCCTGATGGCTCATACGGCGTTTTTCCTTAGCACGGCAGTATACACCTATACAGAGAAATAAAACGTGGTATAAATGTGACAGCATTGATTCTCGTTCATCTTTGCCGACGAATGATCCTTCATGTTCTTTTCCATCCAGCTAGTGATGCATCGACCAAATGTCAGTCAGATGTGAATATCACTTCTCGCTGAAAGTGAATTCGATGCGACTTTTAACAATCCAATCAAGCGTCTGACTGTCTGACTCGGCACTTCTCAAAGGAGAAAAGTGTGGCGATCTTCGGCAGAATATCAAAGAAAATTCATCGTAGAGACTTACAATTAACGTGCAATTAAATGAAAGTAAAAAGAATTCTCTGTTGTGCGGAGAATTTACGATCCACGAGATAGTGTCTCCGTCTCCCTCTTTTCGTTCTAATTGAATACCGAGCCGCTATGCGGTCACTGATTTAAGTTTAATGGTGATTTTTTTCTTCTTTTCATTCTTTATTTCTTTGATGGTATGATGCATTCGGTGCAGGATAAATGAATTTCAAATTTTAACCATTACAATGAATTATTTTGCAAAATCGAAATGTCGGTCGCTAGATCAATCATCGAGGAATGTTCGTATTGAGTATTCGTGAAAATAACCTTTCGAATTCTTAAAATAAAGTCTGCATTGTTTTTAATTAATCATTGATGCTGATTCTTCACAAATCGATTGAGAATCTAAAGCAATACCGTAAGACTAATTTTAAAGCTTTCAAGGTTGCTTTTTATTTTTTTTTTCATCGTCTATTTTAAAAATATTCCGTAACGAGTGATCTAGGGACCGATTTTTCAAAATAATATTCATAATGCCTAAAATCCTGGTTCCTCCTATATCAAAAAATCGATGCTTGAAGTAAAAAAATGACACGCGTATTCCAAATTGCGGTATTAAAATGCGGCAGCATTAAAATCAAATACATAAACACATAAATAAATCAATAGTTGGATGAATAAATGAAGCACCCTGGAGATTTTAAAACGTTGAAATGGAGAATACGCATTCCAGCGTCAATAACTTGACGAATGCGATACGTAGCGTTGGTGTTGGCGCCTGGATGCAACTAATCGTGCTCAGTGATCGTCCGAGTTGCATACTCAAAAAAATGAAGGCGTTTTGGTTTCCTTCTGATGCACACGGCTCACAGTGGATCGAGTCAACTAGAGTGGTCGGACAAGAAATGTTTAACTAAAACTGCGAATTTTGATATTTAATTCGTCACATTTTAAATTGTAAGGGGTGGTTCTGAAAGAAAATTTCACGAGGAAACCAATGGAACCACTTTTAAAACCTCAAAGTTTTGTATGGACGGAGTTAAAAGCTGTTAAAGTTTCCAAATTTTGTCCGATCTCTCCTATTGACTAGATCTGCTGTGCGACAGCCTGTGCGGAGAGCTATCGATACATCGACGATACGCGGCAATAAAAGCTGAAGATCCACCGACCTTGAACATCCCATTTTCCGGAATTATTATTTTCCAAATTTTCGTTTTTTTACTTTTTTCATATCTCTTTATTTTTTTATTTTTTCTAATTTTTATTTTTTCCATTTTTTATTTATTTATTTTTTTTTTATTTCTTATTTTTTTCTAATTTTTTTTATTTTATTTTTGTGAATCTTTTACTTTTGCGTAGCGTCAAAACGTTTGACTCATCTTTTGATTTTTTTTTTTTCGCAGGGACGAATATCGCTCTGCGGCGACCGGCGAACCAATCGACGACTGTGCGAGGCGGAGCCGCCGGCAACGCCAACGACGGCGAGAAGACGACCGTCCACGATGGAAAGAGATGCACCGAGACGATGAAAGAAACCTCCCCGTGGTGGAAGGTCGATCTACTCCGCCCTTATCCCATCAAAGTTGTCCGAGTCACTACCAGAGGGTGCTGCGGTAAGTAGCGACCTTATCATGAGCAAATTTTAGAAATTTAGAATTTTTAGAGCAAATTTTTTTATCAAGGAGGTGATAGTACCCCTCTGTCCATCTTTGCTTTGTTTTTCAGTTTGCACTGATTCCTACCTCGGTCAGTTGCATGCTCGTTTTCTTATTTTAATTTTTACATATTTTACCTTCTGTTCCAGTTGAGAATGGGCATGTAATTGGCCCGAAACGTCCTGGTTGTTCATGTATCCTCTAGCCTTGTATACCCATTTGTTTTTTGTATTTTAATGTGTTTTTATTGCAAATTTTAGACTATACTTCATAAAAAAAGTTTCGTAGGTTTAAAGACGAAGGTTTTCACTCCTATAATTTTTTTTGAAAGACAAAGATGTCGTTCCATCTGTCATTGAAACTAGGCCCAGAATGAAATCTCTTCATCTTTTCAGGTATTGAAGGGCATGGTCTTAGACACCCAAAAATGGTTGAATTTATTCCAAATTCCTCTCCTGGGAGGGGGGCGGGGGGGTCATACAAAAAACAGTTTATTGCTTATAACTTTTGAGCGGTTTAAGATGTTTATTTGAACTTTTCCTTGGAAGAGTTTTTTTCATATACAATTTTTAATAGTTTGGTAAATTTTTGACAAATTCATGACTTGTCGAAAAGTTTCCATAAGTCCAAAAATCTTAAACTTATTTTTGCAAATCATCCTACGGTTTCAACACCGATCACACTTTTTCAAACATGGATTTAAATTACATTTGTTACATATTTTCTCTCTACCCGGTGGAAAAAGAAGTATTGCGATCCCCAAAAGAGGAGAAGAGGCAGAGGAAATTAAAATCATACTCATGAAGATGTCATTGCCATCTTTCGGAGTGCTCTCCCTTCCGTAGATGCACATGTTTTGCCATGGACGAATCAAAATTCATTCCAATTTCTACGTATATTTTTCTTTCATCAAGTGTATGAACGTGGGTTGAACATGGGTTTCTCTATTTTTGCAGGACACCAACCACTTCAAGACTTAGAAATTCGCGTCGGGAACAGCACTGATCTCCAAAGAAACCCATTGTGTGCTTGGTTCCCGGGAACAATCGGTAAGCGATACCTGTAAATCTAATTTTAAACCTTGCAGTGTATGTATATCATCCCAAGGATCACATCAAGCCTTACTGTTCCCTTTTAAGAGCACATTGGAGAAGATTGGCCATAGATTCATAGGACTCGGCTCTTAATTTTTCTGACAATTAGTCTGATTGTTTTCTTCTATCCCCCAGAATTTCAAAATACACTGATCCGCTTCTTAGATATTTTTAGTAAGAAAATAGATTAAATATCCATTGTGGAACTACCAAATCACGTAACTCTGTTGGTGAAGATGCAGATTTCTTGCAAATCTTTCCTGTTTTTACAGATTTCTAATAGATTGTTATCTTTCTATTATCAAATTTTATGTTATTTATGATTACCTTATCAATAATCTTCACCGATGATTTCATGCAAAAACCTACGGTAGTCTCCCTTTAAAAAAATAGAAAATGATAAAAATGAAGTCCTGGTGCATTCGCGATATGCGTTTTAATAGTTTTACATCTGATGTAGTGTTGTAACTTTATCAAGTTCATCGAGATAACATTACCGATAATTAAATTAAAAAATGTTGATCATGGTAAAAGTTACTGGAGTGAAATATTCAAACTATAGAATATGCGGAAATAAAGCATAAAGAATTCGAGCGCCAAATTCGAATTAAAATGCTCCCTAGAATTTAACTTTCCACAAAATGAAGTAAAACTCTGGAACATGAGATTGTAAAATTTAGTCCTTAACTTCATCGTTGATGAGTTATCAGAGACCTCGTAATATGTAAAAATTGGAACGCGTTTTCCCTAGATTAAAAAAAATGCCCGGAGTAATATTGACCCTGATCATTAAGATAAATTTTCCTCTGGAAACATTTTTAAGTTAATGTATTTCAAATTGCAGAGGAGGGCATAACGAAGACTTTCACGTGCGCAAGGACCCTGGTCGGACAGCACGTGTTCTTGCAACTAGTCGGGGTCGAAGGTTCTTTGACGCTTTGCGAAGTCGAAGTGTTCTCAACGGACGGTAAGTGAATCCTTCCTTCTCACTTTCACACTCTCCTTCAATTATCTGTCGAATTGCTGTTTGCCGCTTATTTTTACACTTTACTTCCCGTTTTTTTTCGCATCGTCCGTCACTCGCTTTTGAAGAAGACACCTCGTGTTGTGGAGAGAAAAAGTTGATCCTTCGTGCGGGCATCATCAATGCCGAAGAAAAATAAGAGATCATAGCATCATCTTGAACAACTGCGACTTCCTGAATGTTTAATGTTTATCACAATCGAGACGTTGGGTGCAAAAAGGGCATTTCTTAGTTACGGTGCTTCAGAATCGCCAGTGCTAATTTTTATTTTAGAGAGGAAACCACTGAGTCAATTTTCTAAAATTTTACATTTTCAGCACAGTAAAAGTAACAACAAATTACATAAAGTTGCTTCAATTATAATCAGAAACGTTAAAACGTTGAAACGTTAGCTGAGATTTTGAGACACTGTAACCAAGAAAAGCCCTTTTTACACCCAGCGCTTGAATCGTGTAAAACTGTCCTCGGGAAGAGGGACGATATTGCCAAAAAACGGAAAAAGTAAACTTCATAAAACAAAATTGTCACGAAAATTTTGAAAAAATTCACGGCTTAGTGAACTTTCAAGGAATATTCAACGGGAGGTTTCAATCTTTCATTAGTTTTTAACTTTTCACACCACATTGCCTCGAAGATCGGATACCGGTCTTGACTGCGTAGTGGCCAGTGGGAGAGCCCTAGTTGTAGTTCCTGATGGAAAGGGGAAAAAACATCACTAGGTGGTACCTCCTCAGTCGAAGGCAGTACCACACGTGTAAGAATCCAAGTTGGAACTTTCTCGTTCCTGGGGTTCCGGGTTAAAGCATTCTCACCCGGGAAATTTTGAGAGAAACACACTCCCATACACCCTCTCATATGCACTGCGAATACTCACAATATGAAGAATCATCGGCAGTGTTCTCAGAAATGTCCTTAGGAACTTTTGAATCCTTCTCCACGAGTGCTGACAGTAGCGCCTTCGGATGCAACTATTCGAACTCGGCGGATGTCCGTGTCGCATACACACATAATTGAAGGTGCCTTTGCTAACTTGATTGTAACGCAGCGTATAGATGCAAGTCTTCGTGCTCAACCTGGGCGTGTTGCATACACAAAAAGTGAAGGCGCTTTTGGTTGCTTGGGAGCAATGTAGGTACCGGGGTGAGATACATTTTGGAGTTTATTCCAAGGTTTTTAACAGTGCAGATTCGAGGCCTAGACTCAGATTCGTAGCCTACTCACAATTGGACGTATTTCTTTCAAACGAACCTAAGCGCCATAAGGTGAGGAAGGTAGAGGGGGGCTTGGATTGGCGGCGGAACCGGGCGTTGGGATCATTCCGTCCTATGCTCTCAATGCTTTTCCATGGCGCTTAGCTCCGTTTGACAGAACGCGCTATCCGGCATTCTAAATTCCTCAAAAGGAACTCAAATTGGCGCTTAGTTCCATTTGACAGAAGTACGTCCAATTCTCAAAGGACATTTTGAAGTAAGTAAGTTTCAGAATACTTGTAAAAAAGAAATCCGCAATTTCGTATCAGTCATCCTCGTCGATGATGAGAAGGAAGTACTACAACGACGCTCAACTGGACGCATCTCTATGCCAAACGGAACTATGTGCATTATGACATGCCCTGTCATGCATATGTTCTTATGGAACTTGGGGCTCATGTCTTAATGCACATAGTTCCGTTTGGCAGAGATACATTCAACTGACCCGTTTCTCTCTCGCTCGTCTTTTCAAACATGTGTTGCCATTTCTTTCAAAAGCATAGCGGCATGCGGAATGGGGAAGAGGTGAAATTACATAAAGCAGCACTCCATCGTTGAGTCTCCTTCTTGTCGAGTGGCTTCTGCGCGATGATCCAACACTCCACCGCGTGATGCAATCCTGGATCGGGCTAATTTAAATTTGTCTAATCATCACTCGGGTCATTGGAACCGCTCTTTTTTCGCACCGAGTCTGATTGATCCTGAGTGTTGGGTTGGGATCCAGCAGTTGAGACTGATTTCTCCATCAGACTGAATTGGCTACCCTTCCCCCCCCCCCAAAAAAAAAATAAATTGAGTTCTCTGATTTTTGTGGTTTTGAAGAGAGAGGGCCACATTTTGCATATTTTCGAAATGCACTGTAGAATTATTGATTCCTGGAATCTCCAGGATCCGTCTTGAAAATACTGAGGGTCTAAGTTCCACGGAAAATAGTGGATTGCTGATTAAACCATTCAATTGTGAAAAAAGGTGACTGCAATGTTTCAAATGTACATTTTACGATAGTGGAAAGCTAATTTAACCACTAGGATGGTTAAATTACCATTTTTGTATTGTGAAGTCTACATTGAGACATTGCAGTCACTTTTTTTAGCTACAAAATTGTTAAATCAGCAATTTGATTTTTCCACGCGGGCTGACATCTCCATGTGAGCCTCCGAATCCATCTATTTAAAGTGGACACGTCTGTTGTGATCTCAGCCACAATCGCCACCTCTCCTCGATCCGATCGCCCCGACTGAGCGATTACACGCTGAGAGCAGAGCGTATTCTAATTAGTCATACCGTAAGCATCAACGGTTTTGAAACGGATTAGCATGTTTTCCGCCGTGCATTTACGTCTGAGGGCCCGAGGTGCATTGCGCAATTGGGTGCCTTACCAAAGAACCGCCAGTTTTCCTCCCTATTTTCTCGCTGCCGCTAATAGCACTTAAAAAAGAGCGATTTAATGGTGATAATAGTACCTTTAAAAAGGACAGGTCAGGATATGCTCAACTCTTTTATGTGACTACAAAGAATTATTGCCACTTTCTGGCTCATTCCCTGTGTGAAGAAATCTACTTCCCGATTACCGTGTTTTGCATTAAAGAGCAATTTTATTGTGAGACTATCAAATTAGTATCCTGATCTGCGACGGTAAAAATCTGCTGGCATGCCTTGGTAGCAAAACCGATTTAGGGTATAGAAAACATACTTTCGGTTTTGATGCTGAACACTTTTTGATTCTCCCAAATTATTGGGTCAAAGTCTCAAGCCATGTTAATTATATTATAAGCGTTTGAAGTGCATGCTTCCTTAGACTGGCAACAGCATAGCACCGCCAAACTTTGGGACCGATTTTCTCGAACTCACCATTATTAGTTCCAGAACTTTGAACTGCTTTGAAACATCAAATTTGGAGCACCCTGAGCCGAATGGACGTGTTTATTGTGAAACGCCTTCATCGTGAAAAGATACTTCCTAGCGTTGCCTCTTGGTCCAATAGTTGTTTCATTAGAAAACCCATTAAACAGTGCATACTTCACATAGGTCACTCCTTGATGAAAGTAACGCACGAGAAACGCCTTCATTATGAAAAGATACTTCCTAGTGTAGCCTCAGAGGCCGAATAGTTGCAACACTCGAAAACCCAATCAGCCGTTTAGCAGCACTTAGATTAGCTAAAAATATGGTTACTTCACTTAATGGCCCAGTTGACTAAGTAAGAAGCACTCTCATAAATGTTTCTTAATAAAAATGTCAAGCACAGCACGACTCGTTTGGTGGAAATTTTTGAAATTAACACGTAACAAAGCTATTAAACGTTTTTCGATGCGTAAATTCAAACCTCCTGGAAATGGAAAAAACCATGGAAAAAACGGAAGTCTACCAGAGACAAATCGCCCACTAAAAGATACCGAATGGTCTCCGCGATATGGAAAGATGACACCCTCTATTTCGCCGATTTCGGTGCTTCGACTCAGCTGTTGCACACTGTTCACACTTTGAAAAACACAAGGCTGGGAAGGAACATCGCTCGATTAAGAAACCTCCCAAAACTATATTGTAGTGCGCGATTTGATTCAAGCAGTCCAGTTGGGCTTGCTTGTGAGCAGGGAATCCAGAATTATTGTGACCAATGTAAAGTAAAAACGTTCATATCTAAGTTGGGAGTTGATTTCAGTAATTTGAATCAAGCAAATCGTGTTTTACGTGAAATTTTGATGAAGAAACAAATATCAGAATGCTTAAATTTGTACCTTATCTGCTGGTCCATTCTTTGATGAAAGTGACGACGCATAAGAAACGCCTTCATTGTGAGAAGATACCCCCTAGCATAGCCTCTGAGGCCGAATAGTTGCATCGTTTGGAAACCCAATCAATCGTGTCGCAGCACGGCGTAAATGAACGAGAAATTAGATTACTTCACATAACTCTTCGATGAAAATAACGACGCATAAGAAACGCCTTCATTGTGAAAAGATACTCCCTAGCGTGGTCTCAGAGGCCAAATAGTTGCATCATTTGAAAACCCATGATCAATCGTGTCTCAGCACGGCGCACAGTGGATCGAGTCAATTTATGAGATCGGACATGACATTCTTTAATAAAACTGCAAATTTTGATACTACTTACGTCACATTTTAAAATTTTAAGGGGTGCTTTTCAAGGGAAATTTTACGAGAAAACCAATGGAACTACTTTGAGAACCTCAAAATTTTGTATGAACGGAGTTAAAAAGCTTTCAAAGTTTTAAAATTTTGTCCGACCTCTCCTATTGACTCGATCCACTGTGCGGCGTAGATTGATAGGAAATAAGATTACCTCACATAATAACTCTTGAAAGTGACAGCTCGTAAAAAGCGCCTTCATCATGGAAAGATACTTCCTAGCGTTGCTTCAGAGGGCGAATAGTTGCATTTCTTGGAAACCTAACTAAGAGTGTAGCATGAATGTGTAGAGATGATTGTTCTGACGATGGATGTTGTTGTTTCAGAGTTCTCGAACGACCGGTGCGCCCCGGTGGGGGTGGGGAACGACGTGGAGCTGGCGGCGTTCGACCACACGTGCTACGAATTCAACGTCGGCTCGGGGCGCTCGTTCGAAGGGGCGCGGGAGCAGTGCAAGTCCAACGGCGGCGACCTCCTCCACGGCCTCAAACCCATCACCAACTCCTGGCTCCTCACCGAGCTCGACCGCCGGAAAGAGCGGCTCAAGACCCAGCTCGTCTGGATCGGCGCCCAGAGGGAGCCCGGCTACACCTCCAGGACCTGGAAATGGGTCAACGGTAAGCACTCACACTGGAAAAAGAAACACATTGGATCTAGAGTCCAGACTCTTGAAAACATTGACAAGAAAAAGGACCCTTGATTTAATCAGATTCAAGCTTAAATCAAAAGGAAACCCGCTCAAATTAAGAGGCTTGGTTCTTGATTTAAGCTTAAATCTCATTGAATCATGAGTATTTTTTCTTGTCGATGTTTTTAAGAGTCTGGACTCTAGATCCAATGTGTTTTTTTCCCCCAGTGCAGAATATACACTCACACTAAAAATACTAAACGGAGAGGTGTCAGATTTCGCCACCTTCCGGCCAAAGTATTACAAGCGCCATGCGATGTTTCAAAATTTCCGCCGACATTATATTTTTTCACAGAAAAATTGTTGGTCGAATCTGTATGAAAATTTCACTGAATTTGATCGGCAGTACAGAGGGAAATTTAGTGAAATTTTCGGACAACATTGTTGAACAATTTCTCTGTAAAAAAATAAAATGGCGGCGGAAATTTTGAAACGTCGCATGGCGCTTGTGATACTTTGACCGGAAGGTGCGACAATATACATTTTTCCATATGAACTTGAAAGACTAACTAAAACTTTCCCCGTGATTCGGCGTGACACGGCAACATATCGGTCAAGAATGGATCGTGTTGAGCAGAGAGGAACCAAGCCACTTCAGCTATTGCCAAATTTTATTGGACAGTTTAATTTTTTACATGAAAACGGGGCAACTAGACAATCTTAAAGTTTCGAAAGGACACATTATTACAGCATTTTGTAAAATTCCTCATGAGGGCTGCAATATATTCCGCCCACATGTCATTATTTTGTCGATAATATTTAATCTTGAAACTTAGCAACGTTGCAATAGGAGAGAAACAATTACCGGCCATGAAAATTTCCGGAAAGTCGGACCTTGTGCCGGAGAATAACATCCGAAAAATTCAGAGCAATCCAAGAAGAAGAGGAACTAATACCATCGTTCTATCTTCAAGTCCATAATTTTGAAGTTTGAAACTTTGCAACGTTTCCACGGGAGCAAAAAAAAATTTCCCGGCTTTGAAAATTTCAGGAAAATTGAACCCCACACCGTAGAGTAACATACAAAAAATTCAGATCAATCCAAGAAGAAATGGGTTGCTGGGGGATTAAGCTGCCCCTTATGAATTAATTTTTTAAAAAAAAATCTTAAAAACCATAAAATCGGGATTATTCCTCGCGTAGCTTCTACAACTGGTTCGTTTCCATGTTAATAGAACACGTGAGATGAGCAATAGTAAGATTACAATTAAATTCCCGGGTATATTGTCGTGTTTCACGGCCTAGGCGGCTTTGGTCGTCATTTGCTCATTCAATCTGGCAACGCTTACTACAAAATACTACGCGTAGTACTACGATGAGTACGCTGGCGAATTCTTGGTCTCTCATTGGTCCGTTCTGTTTTGGAATGTTCATTCATGAATCGAAATCCAATATGGCGGATTGGCGGGCACGCACATGGTCAAGTTTGTAAACAAAGTTAGCAATCGGTCAAAAATCTTTGGCATTCTGTGGATCATTCCGCCCTCTTTTGACTTTTTTTACGTCGGAAATTACTTTACTGGTGATTTAAAATTGTGTGTTACGTTAGATTTAGTCAATCAAATCATATTTTCGCAGACGTCAGCTTTATTTGTTAAAGAACTTGTGCTTTGCTCATGAAGTCATGAATCACTTACTAAGTGTGCGAAAGCTTGTAAGTTTTAAGTACCTACCTACTCATTTTCTTTACTTCTACAGGACCCTTAGTTACCTTACCCACCATTTGAACAATTCATTAATGTTTACTTAAATTGTACGCTCACTCTGCATGGGTTTAGCTGTGCCATTTTAACAGCTTACTTAAATCAGTAGGTATCGTAGAAACACTCCAGACCTCCTTTTGACACATTAAAGTTATGGATTGAATTAGGGAAGTTCTAGGTGCACCAATGTAGGCAATCCTTGAACAGCAAAAAAGAAAAATGCTGAAATTTTACTCCATTTTGTAGCTAACCTTTACTTTTGCTGCTCGCTTTCAGCAGCTGAAGTCTAATGTGTAGATTGCTAGCTCGAAAGACTTTGATTTTTCTTATCAGGATGACTTTTTATGTCAAACTTACTTTTCAGGTGAAGTTATCGCCAAGCCATCCTGGGGTAAAGATCAGCCTAACAACTACAATGGAGAACAGAACTGTGTTGTTCTCGATGGTGGAAGGAACTGGCTGTGGAATGATGTTGGGTGTAACTTAGATTATTTGCATTGGATCTGCCAACATAGTAAGTTTAAGAATTTTTCAAGCTTACACCTATCATTGTATCATCTGTTTTCCTCCGAGCAGGGGGATCCTGGCTTTCATCATTTATTTAAAGATAACCCATTAGAGGGTATCATGAATAGATTTCTAGCTAAAATTGCTTTGCTGACTTTCAGGTTGAGGCAGATGGTCCGCTATCTTGCTTAACGTGTTTGGTGTCTGCGGTAAAATTAAGACGTTAGTCCCTCATTGCACACCTCAAATTGCAGGAATAACTCATAGAAAAATATAATCAAGCTATGCTCTTACTCAGAGCACATATGGACTCCGTTAAGCAGGAAGGAACCAAGCCACATGCAGCTATTGCCAAATTTAATTGGGCAATTTAATGTTTTACTTCAAAATGGTTGTCCGGATTTACGCACAAATTTCAGTAAATTTTCCGCATAGTATAACGCAAATTCCTTCAAATTTTCAAAGGAAACCGCACAAACATTTACTTGTAAAAAAGAAATTGTCCCGAAGTCAGTGGCGTGGCGTGAATGACCGATTATCGATATCTCGCCATTTGAAGCTATGGTAAAGAATCTATTACTAAGGTGTTTGCTGCCAACACCCTGATAATCGATCTTTATTCATAAGTTTGAGTGTCGTTTCAATCGATATATCGCAAAGCCCGCCACGCCACTGCCGGAAGTCCTGTTAAAGTTAATAATAGCTGATGTGGCTTGGTTCCTTCCTGCAAAACGCAGTCCATATTTACCTCCTTAGAAATTAATGGTCAATCTATTACAGAGAAAAAATTGTTTTCTTGTCCACAGTAGCATTAATTAAAACATATTCAACAAAAATTTATCTGCTGTACTTTTTCTTTTAATTCTGGAACTTCAACATTAAAATTTGATGTTTCACTCTTAAAACAAATAGCCCTGTTTTATGATTATGAAATAGCCAAACAATACCTAGTAAAATCCAAATGGAGGTCATAGGTAAATCAAAGCACTCAAAAAAGTGTCTCAATTCACCTCAGATGTTAAAAATTCAAGATAAAATAGGGAATTTCATACTCTGAAGAATGAAATTTCTAAATATGTGAATTGCATGATTGTAGAACTTCAATTAACTTTATTTTTATTCCTTGCTGTTCAATACAATTTTTTAATCTTGCACTCTGCATTTATATTCTAGAATTATCATGATATTAAGTGTTCCTTATAATTTTTCTTTAACTCAATCATCAATGTTTTTTTATTTTATCAGCACCCTCAGTTTGCGGTAGTCCAGATAAAAACCTGAATACAACTATCGAAGGAAATGATTTTAAGGTGGGGAAGGCAATATCTTACCACTGTCCCGAGGGACATATGCTTGTTGGTGACCATAACCGTACATGCAAGTCGGATGGATTTTGGTCTGGATCTGCACCTACCTGTAAATGTGAGTTGTCTTTGTAAAGAAGTGATTAAACACTCTGTACATCAAATCTAATTGTAAGCAGTCTTCCATGGCTTTGGTCGCTATGTGTAAAATGTGCCTAAAAATTAAACTCTGGTCTCTGAAAATAAGGGTCCTTTGCAAAATTTGGCATTTAAGGAGGTAGCAAAGCCAAAAATGTTTTGTCTTTGCTCAATACAAAATTCGGCTATCTGTGCTGACTGCATCTGAAACCTTTATAGCTTCTTAAAAAATTCAAATGCTTTTGAAAATTGGACTTTCTGACTAAAAAGGCCTCTAATATTCTGAATGAAAATTTTGATGCTGGTTTGGAAGAGGCATACAACTCCTCTCTAAAGAATGATAAAAAGTCTTAAATGACATAGCTATTTTTTTTTCTCTCAATTTTTTTTCCAAATTTGTTTTATTATTCAATGCAGTGATCAATGTATCTTAATATGTCAAGATTACCAAAAAATTGAATAAATACAGAATTGTGGATGATATAGCGATTGCCAAAATGTAAAATTGCGTATTTCCCTTCCAATGTTTCAATTTTTGGAGAAAAACAAGCTAATTTCATAGCTTGAAAATTGTACAGAATATTCTACTAATCAAAAAGAAAAATCAAGGAAGTTTTCAAGGAATTCGGTTGACTAGTTTTCTAAAAAAAAAAAAAAAATAAAGTTATGACAGGAAGTTTACAACATTGCGAACAGAGATACATGGTTTTGCACTCTGGCCATCGATGAGTATTTGAAAAAGAATATTCATCAAGAAGAGAAATGTAAACAAATCAGCCAATCTCTTTTGAAATGTGGTATGAAAGTTGATTCTTACACTACTCTTTACGGGAGTTGTTCGTTTCTCCAGGCTTACAGATTTTGAAAGTCAAGGTTTAGGTTGATCAATATTAAAAGGCTGAAGGGAAGATGATTTTTCTAATGTTATTATTAATTTTACTTGTTCTTTCAGATGTGGACTGTGGGAAGTTAGGTAATATCGATCATGGGGAGGTCAAGCTAACTGATGGAAGAACAACACATGGTGCCACCGCAGTCTACACTTGCGCAACAAACTATACACTCATGGGAAATGCGCAAAGAACATGTGGAGATGGCGGAGTTTGGACTGGTGACTCTCCTCAATGCCTGTGTAAGTACCACAAATAACGCTAGTGATCACGGATTTTTACTCTGCACTAGCTCTTATTTGTACGAAGCTAAACAAATTTGTTGGCAAGTGATTTATGAGTCTCGTTATTTTCAGCACTTCTGATGCAATTTCATCGGAAGCAACATTTTTATGCAGTGATTTTAGGTATGCATGACTCAGTGGAGCATAGTTTCCAAGAAGAAAAGAGTGCAATTTTTCAATTTTTTCATTCTCACTTAAAAAAGTCCCAACCCCCTTTTTTTTGGAAACTGAAAGAGTCCCTTTTTATAGCAAGAACATCGCCACTTGTCTTAAGATTTTTTCCCTCTCTGAGACAAAAAATCTCGGGTAATAAGATAATTTATAAAGGTGAGCTATATAAGATTTCTTGTGGTGGGCCATCGTATCTCAAATAATATAATTAATTTATAATAGAATAACAACTTCCCAGCTGCAAATGCCAGAGTTTAGATAGAATAGTTAGATTTTACCTTTCTCGGAATGATTTATCATTTGTGAACATTAGAATAAAGTACAATTATTTTGCTTGAAAAAGCAAAATTTTGAAGTGCAAGCTTTTAAATTCACGATTATTATATGTTCTGCTTTTCATTTTTAAAGCCATAACTTCAAAAACTGTGAACCATATTTATGTATGTATGTAAAGATTTTCTTAGCATCTCATTTGATCAATTTTTTTTATCTATTTTTCAGTTGATTGGTGTGCAGACCCACCACAAATAGCTGGAGGGATGGTGAAAACATCAAGCAAGCGCACAGGCTCAATCGCATCATACTCATGCGAACCAGGCTTTATTCTCTTTGGACAACATGTAATAACATTTTTCATGAGTAATTTAACTTTTTCAAATTTAAGCGTGAAATTACCCTCCATTTCATATCTGGAACTTTTTATGCCTCCTTGACAAAGTGAAAAATTAGTCATGTCTCCCTACAATCAAGCCGTAGATTTGTGCTTCCAATTTTGGATTACATACATACTCATGGAACAAAGTCTTGCCTCCTTTTTCTAATGTTAAATTCTCCTCATATTTAGATCATATTCCTATCGCTATTTGTTTCAGCATATAATTTCTTAAAATAGCTATATTTATGCGAGACTGAAACTTCATCATGGTTTTCATCCCTTTCTCTCTCTCTCTCTGTATCTCTCTTGAGAGGCCTAGAAAATGTTAATAAGCCAAATTTTTAATCTTATTATGTGTGGCGTAAATATACTCATCATAAGTTTTCACAATCGATTATATTATCATATGAATTTTTGGTACTTTTAAATGCCGTGAGCATACTCTGAGTCCTGATCAAAACTTCCAAAATTCATGTTTTTTCCTCTGACTTTGTTTTGCTGTCATAGAGTTATTCATGAATTAATTACCGTACTTTTAAATTTAACATCATTTGAATGTCTCTCTGTTGAACAGGAATTGACTTGCGGCCTGGGAGGAGAGTGGTCTGGCAAAGCCCCATCTTGCAAATACATTGACTGTGGAGCGCCACCAAACATTGATAATGGAAAATATCAGTTATTAAATGGCACTACAACTCATAGCAGTTTGGTTGAATATTCTTGCGCGGAAGATTACTGGCTTGAGCCCCCAGAAAATCGGCGGCAAATTTGTACAAGGGAAGGCAAATGGTCAGCAGAGCCACCGTCATGTGAACGTAAGTAGTTTCTTCTGTGTGGACAGACATAATTTTGTTTGACTCTCTTTAAACCCTCAAAAGTCGTATGAAACTTGTTTGGTAATATGTAACGTCTAAGAGATAACATTAGTGGTATATGCCTTGCTGCCGTGCTGTATGAGCATTCAAATGTTGCCAAATTGCTTTTCAGAAAATATTTACTTCTGAAGACAGTTATACATATGTTCCCTTGAAATTTGCAGAAACTTTAGATCAAGTCACGAACAAAATTCTTCAAAAATTGGAAAGAAAAAGTTTTTAAATATTCCCGAAAATTTGGGATCTCTCGAAGGAGTTTTATCAACACCAGAAAGCTCAAACAGCGTTCCTCCTTAGCACGGCAGCATGATAGTTGTTATAAAAAATAATGTACACCAAAGAATTGGCTGAAAGAAATAAAATCGATATTCATGTCTGGAACTCTGAATAATTTTATAGTTTGGAAATCCTGAGGAAGTAGGAAAAAACTTCGGTTTCTCATGTGGGAATGAGATCCTGAAAATCAGGAATAAATCAGGGAATGAGCATGATTAAGAATTCTTGACACCATGCCTAACTGAGTTGTCCATTTAACTTTTTTTTATCGAGTGTTTTCCAAGGGAGAGAAAAAAAATTGTAATTTATAATTATTTTAAGTTTAAATGGATTTGTTTCTCTTTTTTTTTATTCAAATTTTTTACTCATTAATCTTTTCAGGTAAATTAGTTCTGATTTTACCTTATTATTTATAAACCCGATTATTATTAAAAAACCCGACTTTCTTCTTACATCCTACAATTGGACGTATTTAAACAAAAGGAACTATGTCCATTGTAACATGAGCCCTGTCAATCATGCATTCTCATGGATCTCAGGGCTCATGTCAGAATGAATAATAATTCCTTTTGATTTAAATGCGTCAAATTTATGTTTCCATTGTACATGTTTTTTCAGTGATCACTTGCCCAGAGCCTGATGTGCCTGCCGGAGGATTTGTGGTTGGGTATGATTTCAATGTCCACTCAGTAATAGAATTCCATTGCGAAGCAGGTTACCTTCTCCGAGGAAATCCGACGCTAACATGTACCGTTCAAGGAGAATGGTCTCACGAGCCTCCAACTTGCCAATGTAGGTTTTCTTAAAATTTATTCCCACGTTTTTCTGAGACAACTAATGAAATTTTTGAAGTGGGCTCTAGTGTCTCATAATTCTGAGTTAAAGAATTGAAATGTATGTAGACAGGGAAAAAATCACATCGGACAGTTTTTCATGTTTTGGTTTGTTTTTTAAGGATAAAAAAAAAAAAAAATTACATCGGACAGTTTTTCATGTTTTAGTTTGTTTTTTAAGGATTGAATTAGGATCTATTTAGATTTTTAAATGTCTAGTTTGGATTATTAAAGCCATATGTATACATTATCAAGTTTGTTGTGTTGTCTGACATAATGTGGTAAAATTTTGAACCGATGCTCTTCTTACACACCACTTTAAATCATTTGGACTAATTTAATTGGCAATTGCCGCACTGCATTTCATAATGCCAATCTTTCTCTTGTTTTATTTTTTAAAACAGAGAACCGAACTACTTAATGATTTAATTAATTATCGTCTCAGTGTACAACAGATAGCAACAGACAAATAGGTAACAAACAAAAAAACAATGAGCAAAAATAAAACACCCACTAATGACACTTGGCCATTGTGTTGGGTGGAGCCTCTTTGTTTGATTTTATTTTGTTTCATTATTCCCCCTTTTTTGCTCCTTTTTTCCCTTCTTTCAATTATGTTTTTACCCACTTCCCCCTCGTTTATCACTTACGGAAAAAATGAAATTGCTGATTCAACAATATTGTAGTCAAAACAATGCCTGTGAATTTCCTGTGCATTTACAAAAAATTCAAGTTTCATCAACGTTCAGTCTTCCATCTAAAAAATAAAATTTCAGAAAAAATTAAGCAACATTTGATTTAGTTTTGCTTAAATCCGTCCATTTTATAGTTACCTAATGCTGTAATACCTTTTCAAAAACTCTAAATACTGACAATTAGCCATCAATCATTACATAGATATACTTATGCTAAGAGGAACTATGTAGCATGCAAATCCTATGCACATAGTTCATTTTAGCATAAATACCATTTACCACTTTACCAATTTACCATTCACCAATTACCATTAGCATAAATTAGCATTTTTATCAGATCAGAAGTGTGTCATTATGTTGCGTCAGGGCTCATCTCTACGCAACTCTTTCTTTTACAACCCAGCATTTTTATCTCCTCCATTATCAGCAGCACACTTCCCTTTATTATCTTTAACCACAAATAAATATGCTGACCCTTCATTCCTTGAAGAGTTTGTCTCTAATCAGCTCATTTAACACCAGTATCATCGACATCCCCCTCCCCCCATCTTTGCCTCTCCATGACTTTTGTTCTTTATGACTTGCAAAAGATAGCTACATCTACATAGTTGCTTTCTTTGTGACTCATCCTCCTACACCAGTCTCTTTGTTATTTCATCATCCCTCTTTTCTATCATAGAGATTAATGTTCTAGAATGTTTTTATGACGAAAAACTGATATCTCTCCAAAATTTTTTGTGCTCCATTGAAAACTGTGCTGTCCAAATATCAGCCTCTCCTCTCATTATTAATCATATTGTCTCTTAGTTTTTGATATTTCTAACATCCTCATTTTGTGTTCCATTTTTTTAATATTTCATTTTTATATTTTAATTCAATTTTTCCTCAAACATGGGGAAACCTAACATCTCTGTTCTTGCATTGATTTTACTATTATCATTTTTTGTTATTATTTTCTCCTTCTTCCTTCTTTTCAATGTGGGTAATAAAAGTAAAATTGACATTTTAGATGTGGATTGCGGTAAACTACCTTCTTTACCANGGCAGCATGATAGTTGTTATAAAAAATAATGCACACCAAAGAATCGGCTGAAAGAAATAAAATCGATATTCATGTCTGGAACTCTGAAGAATTTTGTAGTTTGGAAATCCTGAGGAAGTAGGAAAAAACTTCGGTTTCTCATGTGGGAATGAGATCCTGAAAATCAGGAATAAATCAGGGAATGAGCATGATTAAGAACTCTTGACACCATGCCTAACTGAGTTGTCCATTCAACTTTTTTTTATCGAGTGTTTTCCAAGGGAGAGAAAAAGAATTGTAATTTATAATTATTTTAAGTTTAAATGGATTTGTTTCTCTTTTTTTTATTCAAATTTTTTACTCATTAATCTTTTCAGGTAAATTAGTTCTGATTTTACCGTATTATTTATAAACCCGATTATTATTAAAAAACCCGACTTTCTTCTTACATCCTACAATTGGACGTATTTAAACAAAAGGAACTATGTCCATTGTAACATGAGCCCTGTCATGCATGCATTCTCATGGATCTCAGGGCTCATGTCAGAATGAATTCTTTTTGATTTAAATGCGTCAAATTTGTTTCCATTGTACATGTTTTTTCAGTGATCACTTGCCCAGAGCCTGATGTGCCTGCCGGAGGATTTGTGGTTGGGTATGATTTCAATGTCCACTCAGTAATAGAATTCCATTGCGAAGCAGGTTACCTTCTCCGAGGAAATCCGACGCTAACATGTACCGTTCAAGGAGAATGGTCTCACGAGCCTCCAACTTGCCAATGTGAGTTTTCTTAAAATTTATTCCCACGTTTTTCTGAAACAACTAATGAAATTTTTGAAGTGGGCTCTGGTGTCTCATAATTCTGAGTTAAAGAATTGAAATGTATGTAGACGGGAAAAAAATCACATCGGACAGTTTTTCATGTTTTGGTTTGTTTTTTAAGGATAAAAAAAAAAAAAAATTACGTCGGACAGTTTTTCATGTTTTAGTTTGTTTTTTAAGGATTGAAATAGGATCTATTTAGATGTGTAAATGTCTAGTTTGGATTATTAAAGCCATATGCATACATGATCAAGTTTGTTGTGTTGTCTGACATAATATGGTAAAATTTTGAACCAATGCTCTTCTTATACACCACTTCAAATCATTTGGACTAATTTAATTGGCATTTGCCGCACTGCATTTCATGTTGCCAATTTTTCTCTTGTTTTATTTTTTAAAACAGAGAACCGAACTACTTAATGATTTAATTAATTATCGTCTCAGTGTACAACAGGTAGCAACAGACAAATAGGTAACAAACAAAAAAAACAATGAACAAAAATAAAACACCCACTAATGACACTTGGCCATTGTGTTGGGTGGAGCCTCTTTGTTTGATTTTATTTTGTTTCATTATTCCCCCTTTTTTGCCCCTTTTTTCCCTTCTTTCAATCATGTTTTTACCCACTTCCCTCTCGTTTATCACTTACGGAAAAAATGAAATTGCTGATTTAACAATATTGTAGTCAAAACAATGCCTGTGAACTTCCTGTGCATTTACAAAAATTTAAAGTTTCATCAACGTTTAGTTTTCCATCTAAAAAATAAAATTTCAGAGAAAATTAAACAACATTTGATTTAGTTTTGCTTAAATCCGTCCATTTTATAGTTACCTTATGCTGTAATACCTTTTCAAAAACTCTAAATACTGACAATTAGCCATCAATCATTACATAGATATACTTATGCTAAGAGGAACTATGTAGCATGCAAATCCTATGCACATAGTTCATTTTAGCATAAATACCATTTACCACTTTACCAATTTACCATTCACCAATTACCATTAGCATAAATTAGCATTTTTATCAGATCAGAAGTGTGTCATTATGTTGCGTCAGGGCTCATCTCTACGCAACTCTTTCTTTTACAACCCAGCATTTTTATCTCCTCCATTATCAGCAGCACACTTCCCTTTATTATCTTTAACCACAAATAAATATGCTGACCCTTCATTCCTTGAAGAGTTTGTCTCTAATCAGCTCATTTAACACCAGTATCATCGACATCCCCCTCCCCCCATCTTTGCCTCTCCATGACTTTTGTTCTTTATGACTTGCAAAAGATAGCTACATCTACATAGTTGCTTTCTTTGTGACTCATCCTCCTACACCAGTCTCTTTGTTATTTCATCATCCCTCTTTTCTATCATAGAGATTAATGTTCTAGAATGTTTTTATGACGAAAAACTGATATCTCTCCAAAATTTTTTGTGCTCCATTGAAAACTGTGCTGTCCAAATATCAGCCTCTCCTCTCATTATTAATCATATTGTCTCTTAGTTTTTGATATTTCTAACATCCTCATTTTGTGTTCCATTTTTTTAATATTTCATTTTTATATTTTAATTCAATTTTTCCTCAAACATGGGGAAACCTAACATCTCTGTTCTTGCATTGATTTTACTATTATCATTTTTTGTTATTATTTTCTCCTTCTTCCTTCTTTTCAATGTGGGTAATAAAAGTAAAATTGACATTTTAGATGTGGATTGCGGTAAACTACCTTCTTTACCATACGGTTCAGTTAATTACCTCAATGGCACAACTCATCTGGAGAGTGAAGTTGTGTACAGCTGTGTCCATAATTACCGCATCTCAGGAAATCCGCGCCGGAAGTGTTTGGAATCCCAACATTGGAGTGGCTCTGCCCCTAAATGTGAAGGTACGTAAACAATCCTAATTTTATATTCTGTCACCTTAATCATAAAACCTGTGCAGGGCTTAATGGAAGTGAAACAATTTTAGAATCTCATTTCTCAAATTTACTTAGGATTTTATTTTTCTTATAACTAAACCTGGCATCAAAATTTATTGATACCTAAATCTAAAATGAAGGAAAGGAAAATGTATGAGATAGTACTGGTTGAACCAAGACAAAGTTTTCTGTTTATTTTAACAAAGTTCTCATAAATTAAGTGGATTATGTCAAACATCTAACGAATTGAATAAAATATTTTTGTGAAACCCCACAGATATCAGCAATTTTTCTTAATCATCAATGAAAAATCATAGTGATTAGTGAAAAAGCAGAATTTTCTTCAAACAACACTTAACTAGCTAATCCCCCAAGATATGTAATCTGAGATTTGTTCACGATAATGTCTGCCGGACTCCTCAGTACTCAATTTTTTCTCCTAAATTCTTCTCAAGGTTATCTAACCAGATTTAATGTTAAAGTGTTTGGAAACTCCTTTATCATTTTAACTGGGTTTTATGGCGTACATGTTATAATTGGCTTGTTATTTCTAATCAGAAGATTTAAATGGTTGATTAGTAAGAGATTTAAATTTATGAAATTACATGTTTCAGTTTATATTCTCCTTTATTGATGAGGGATATAAAAATAATCATAAAATTATATATTTTATTAGTATATAAAATGTACATTTAACTGTATATCCATAGTACTAGTATAATTATCATTTGGTCAAAATTAATGGTCCGAATGTAGCACACATACTTCATAGCTTTTTATCTCAATTTTGTCCAAAAAAATTTTAACTTATCTGTTTGAGGTGTTTTCAATACTTAAAAATTTCAAATCTGATTGCTTAATTGTGATCAGTCAAATCTATGATTTTTTTTTTTTTTAAAGCGATGAAAGTAATCAAAAATGGTAAATACATCAGATCAGAGAAGTAGGAAAAATAAATGACGCAAATCAAAGCAGCTCACAGATTTCTTCTCCTTTTTCTTTTTCTTTGTAATACTTAAGCATTTTTCTCATCGTATCCATCCTTTTGATTCTCCAGAAATTAGATGTCCTGAACCAGTTCTCGCTGAACACAGCATTCTGTCAGTCACTGGCAATGACAGGGTCTATGGTCGTACGCTGATCAAAACGTCTGACTCGGAAAGATCAACCGCAACCTATAAAATTGGAGCTCTAGTTAAGTATCGCTGTGAAAGAGGCTACAAAATTCAAGGAGACCCTCTCAGCACCTGTGAGGATACTGGACTGTGGAGTGGAGCTGTACCAGAGTGTGTCTGTAAGTTGAACTGACTTTATAACCCAGGGGGTTGCAAAAAGTTCTAAATCGCTGACTGTTTCCCATGGTCTGGCATCTCTGCCTCACAGCCAAATTTGCAATTCGCCTCCCTTTTGACACTTGAAAATTAACGTAGAGTTATTTTCACAGGAATATTATTATGATCAACACCCAGAAATGGAAATTATAATTGGCATTCAAATTTTTTTGCTCAATACTTAGAGATGTAAGAAGAAAAACATTTACTTATCTTCCGTTATTTCCTGAGAAAAATCTTCGAAATTAATTTTTCAAACCTTAGCAGGCTTCGTTTCATTTGAGATGATAATGCATTGTGTCTATTCTTTGAACAGATGTTGATTGTGGTATGCCTGAAGAAGTCAATCATGGAACTTTCAATTTGGCCTCAAATGTGACCTACTATGGAGCGGCGGTGCTTTATGAGTGCAATGAAAATTATGAATTAGTTGGGCATGCTCGGAGATTATGCCTGGAAAACGGAACATGGAACTCAGAAACTCCTAAATGTGAAGGTAATGAAACTGTATTCTCTCTACAATAAATGAACTTTTTTTTTTTTTTTTGGTTTTGTATCATCTTTAAAGTAACTGTAGATTGCTAAATATTACCCAATGTCTTGATGCAATTATGAGAATCAAGTCCCATACCGTTCTTCCGAATCTTTATTTATCCAATTTAAATTTACTTCTTTTTCCTTTTTCAGAAATACACTGCAAAGAACCTGAAACTGAAGGAGGGCTGACTGCCAAAGTCTCCATGTACAATGTCGGAGGAGTTGCGCACTATTCTTGTGCACGTGGACAGCTCATGGAAGGCAATTCCACAAGAATCTGTCTCAATTCTGGAAAGTGGGGTGGAAAACTTCCCAAGTGTTCTTGTAAGTTTTTATATCAAACCTTTCAATCATCAGTAATATGTATGTATACGTTCATGTTACACTAATGTGACATTAATATAGGCAGTTTAAGAATAAATTACCACAGGATATTGAATTATTAATTCACTGCAAAGTGGTTTGAACAAAACTACTCCATCACGTTCGTATAACCATCAAAATTAATAAAAAAGAAATCGAATTAGTCAGTTAATATGACTTAAAAGCCCTTCTCGAGGAGGGATCTATATGTTGCAAAATATAGTGTTAACTGCCGTTAATTTAAGAGAAAGAAAGCTTTATGAAAAAATTCAGACTGGAGGACCAAAAAAAATCCAAGATAGTGGAGAGTATGGTAAAGAAACCTGACTCATAGCAGCATCGTGGAATTGCTGTAATAAATATATTTTATTCAAATTGAATTTTTTTTTGTTTATTACTGACCTATGAATTTTACTAAAGGGTCCTTTCAACTTTTAAATTTTACTATTTTTTGGTTTTATTTACTTGCGAAGGCACCTTGAAGTAGAAGAGACAAGTTTACCTTATCTTACTTTGTAGACATTTTTCAGAAAAATTTCATCTTAATGATTGATCAAGAACTATCCAAACAGACTGTCAGGTATCTTACGACAACACTAATTTTAGGCGTTCTACCAGATCAATTTTAAAAATGCGTGCTGGTGAAAGATCTTGACGTCCTGTTCCGATGCTTGCAAAATTGTCAAACTTCCGAATTTCTGCCCCCCCCCCCCCCATGACGCCCTACGTAAGACCTAATCATTTTATGTATTTCCCAACAGACGTTGACTGTAAACATCCTGGGAAGATTGAAAATGGAAGAGTGATCGTGATGAACTCTTCTACAATTTACAACAGCGCAGTTGAATATCACTGCATTCCCCAGTACCAGCGAATTGGACCGTATCTCCGCAAGTGTTTGGAGGATGGATCGTGGTCAGGAGAACAACCTCGCTGTGAAAGTAAGCCCAAATTTTTGTTTCCCTCTAAAAACCGGTTCGGACAGTTGAACTGTCGCGAAACTTATTTGATGGACCAAACTTAACTCTGTTAAAACTAGTTTTTTGATGAACCACACTAAGCAGCTTGACTGTCTGTACAGGACCTTCCTTCAAAACTAATCAAGAATATTCAGAAACCCCGAAAATCATACATTTGTTGAAAACATAAAATGTGCCTAATATGACCAGACCTGTGTGTGTGACTGGAGGACTCCTTTTCTTCCCACTGTCAGAGTATTTACTCCAAATTAGTTTGTATTGGTACCCTCAACCAATCAGAAGCCTAGTTTAATTTTTTACTGTTAGCGCTGTGTCTTTATTTCTTTGTTTCCGACACAATTATATTGTACTAATCTGCAATTTTTTTTTCTTTTGCAGTGATGGCAAGCGAAGCCAGTGAATCTCAAACTGTAGGATATGCAATTAGTGTAGGAATTGGAGTCGTTTTGTTTTTACTCATTTTATTGGGACTGCTTTTTTTAAGACTGTAAGTATTTTCATCACAAGATTTGTAATTATATTTTTCTCTGCAATTGATCACTTTTTTCTGATAAAAGTATCTAAAATATTTACATTTTTCTCTTTTTTTAACAGAATACCAACAGCATCGCTGTTCCATTTGCTGTCCTGCATACTCATGAGACTTTTAATAAATTCAAAGTAAATCTCGTTTTGACATGTAACAGCAAAAGATTTTGAAATTCACAAATTGGTAGAAGTAACCATTAACCAATGACAGCAGAGTTGTCATACGCCAAAGAAAAGTAAACAACTGCTGTCTTTTTGTGCAGTTTGTTCATTAAACCACTTAAAAGCCTGAAGCAAACAGTGATTTTTCCTCTCTTTGTTCTTACAACTATTTTTCCTTTTTTTCAACAGGAGAAAAGAAACGCCGGTCAAGAACACAGAAAATGTGGAAGGCGCAATAAGGAAAGAAGAACAGGGTGCAGCTGTAACGTTATACGCGACTTTGAACGGCAATGGACATCCGAACAACATCTATGATAACATTCATGACCCTGAAAGCATGTACGATTCTCCGTATGAAGAGACAAGTCATTATGAACTTTCGCCAACTGCCAGGAGAAATAACAGTGCCCAAGTCACAATTAATGGGGTTGCTGTTCGCTGATTAGGACTTAATAAATTTTAGGAATAAATTTTACTATGAAGATTTGCTTGGAATACATTTTGGAAAACATGCCCCACAAATTGTTAGATATTCATATGTATGTACAAGAGAGAAAATCGAAGTTCTCGTCTTTGAATGTACTTATACGTTGATCCAGGCTCAAATCATGGAAATATTTAGGCCCAAACCTCACCGAAGCCTTTTCATTTATGTTGGTCATAAAGGTAAGAAGCTGTAAGGATTTTAATCCTGCAAAAGTTTCATCTTCTGATGCTGGGAAACAGTATGTTTGGTATTTTCACAGTTTTGGCAATGAATAATTTCCTAAACTTCTACATCAGCTACTTGTATTTAGTTTTCTACCTAAAAAAAGTAACATGAATACTAAAACTAATGAAAAAAAGGTAATGAAGTTTAAAAAAGAAACTCAAATTTTGAAACTTCAGTTGTCAAAATAATGAATTTTCACAGGGAAGAAAATTCCAACCTAATCAACAAATCAGCAGCGCAGATCCAAGAAATATCTGCCCCTCATCTTAAGAAAAATCAAGTCAACGGAGTTTTTAGACATTTTCAATGTAATTATGTTTGTGGTAAAAAATTAAGAAGTCCCATCTAGCACTCAATTGGAGATGGGAAGTCTCCAAAATTGCAATCCATTTAAGAATTAATCAGACAAGCATATGGTTTTCCCCGATATCTAACAAAGCCTGAAATGAAGTCAACTTGAGGATGGAACTCCCAAACCCTTGTATCTCAGTTTGCAATATCGCAGACTTCCCGTCATGTTTAATTTCTTCTATAGAAAACTTCTCAATGTCAATTCTTTGAAACTTCCAATATTTCCCTTCTCTATGTGAAGAAAATTCTTTGAAAAATTCAAGAAATTATGTACGTTGATTTGTTCTCCTTCGAAAAAATAAAATGGGAGCAGAGATTTCAACACGCAAACAAGATACGTGGTTTGGGACTATCCTTGTCAAACTCCCTCGTGCCTTCAGGGTATTGTTCTGGGAACTCACCTCTGTGAGATTGATTCCAAGCAAACTTTCAATGTCAGTGGTGCCACTTGCGGCAAACAGTCCAAGTATCCTATTGAAGAAACTTTGAGTATTTTTGCTGCAAATGGCGGTACTGCTCAGTACCCTGTGATCCTATTTTCTTTGTTTTATGTTTATTTTGTACATACATTATTTATATATGTAAAAATTTGAAGTTCCGACTGCATAGAATATGTTATTTCAAGGGGCTGTGTTTCTTTGTGCAGTTATTAATGAATGGGTTTGTCACCTGTAAGAGATAGAACCTAGTGAATAGACCTTTTATACTGCCGTGCTGAGGGAAAGTGCCACATGAATCTTTAGGTGTTTCCAAATTTTTTTTGATTGACAAAATTATAAATATCTTCCTCCAATTTTCTAGACAATTTTGCATAAGCTGTAAATCTCAAGGAAAAACATGCTAAACTTTCCTCCAAAATAAATTTTAAAGGGGGAAATGTAGTAACATTTGAAGGCTACCACTTGTCGTCCTTCCTTAGCACGGTAGCATAAGTAAAATCACACGAAAATTACAATGAGCCTATCAATCCATTCTGTAGTGCCCACTTTGTAAAGTTTACAAGCTGCTTTTGCAAATTTTTTGTGACCGCGGACAGTTTTTCGTAGTCGTCAGTAGCCAGGTCTGCCATAAGAGAGATTTAAGCAAAACCTAGCCGAAATAAACAACCAATCTTACAGACTTTTTCTGAGGTATAATTTTATTCATTCTCAAGAATTTGTTCTCTCTCCTAATTTCATTGTGTTGCAAAAACTAAAGCTTTTAATAAATTTATAACAGCTTGTTTTTTTTGTTTATTTGAGCATCTCTCTCTCTAGATAGATGTATATGCTAACCGCTGAGAATCCTGTGGATCCGGAAAATTTGGAAAAAGTGTGTTCCTAACTCAGCAAATTGCCCTCAAAAGAGTGGATTTCAGAATTTCTTGGTGTGGCCATAGTATTTTCTGTGCAATTTTACCATTTGAAAGTCCTTACTTCTAGAAAAAAGCTGTATCTCTTGCATGCAACAGACCCACTGTATCACTTCATTTCCTTCAGTTTGTAAGACTTCCCTATTCTTATCACCTGCTCCATTAATAGCATTTCCTCTTTCTTTCTCTGTGTTACAGTAGCATGTAGAATATAGATTAATTTCTGTCCGAATGCACTTTATTTCAGAAACTTGACTGTCCCTCTCTTCCTCGTCAAATTTTCATTTAGATTTCAGCTTTTTTTTATCCTCCAACTTTTTTACAAACCATTTCTTTCCTGTTTTTACATCTAAGTTTACAGAAAAATTAACGTAAAATTTCTTCCTCAATTATGATTGTATCTGTAATTACTTTATACTATGGCATAATATTTTCAAATGATTTTTTCCTCACAAATTTTTGCTCACTATTTTTTGTGTCTTTAGTTATGCCATAACTTTAAGCTTATTGTGTGTATTAAAGAACTTATGATTTGTAAATTTGTAAAGGTAAGGGTAGTTTTCGCTGCTTACACTGTTCTTTCTGCAGGAGAGATTACATGTATCAAGACAAGATATGAAGAATTATCTTCAATATATTCGCTGGCTAGCAGTTTTTTCTTTTTTCTTTTTTTTAGAAATTTATTCACAAACATAACAGTTAGCCAGAAATGTCTGAAGCATAAAATAATTTCAATTCATATAATTTTCCATGGGCGTGAAATCTAAGAACAATAATTGTTTCCTATGTACATGACTGTAATTTAGAACTGACCATGTAAAAGGAGTTGGGCGTTTTTCTTAGTATCAAACTTGACTAGTTGAGTTTATCTCCAGTAATGATTTCATAATACCATACAACAAATTAATTTTCAAAGTCATTTTAATCACTCATTATTATCTGGGAAAAAATGAAGAAATGAAAATCTTTTTATGCTCAGTCTCTGAATTTTATCGGACAAGGAGTGCAAGAGAACTCTTTTGTAAGAATTTTGTCAAAAATTCTGCAAAGTCATGCAATTATTTGTTATCAGGTATGCACTAACTTTAATCTGTTAAAACAAGTCTAAAAGAATTATGCAGTTTTTGCTTCTGCAAATCGTAAAAGGGTGAAATCCAAAGTCGAAAATGCCAAACTAATTTATGTTATAATTTTGCCTATTTTGGTATGTTAGGAAGACTGTCTTTCTCTGTTTCTTTTTGGTTGTGTATGCCTGTGTACTTTGTATTGTCTGCAACGCAGAATTATTCTTGTATGGCAAACTGCTATGGCCATCTTTTATTCGGAAGTCGTTGCACCCAGCAGACATTTAAAATTCTGATAAAACCGTTTACAAGATAAATCATGGCGCAAACATTTTGTAAAAAGCTGAGAGTTATGTTTCTAAATTTGATAAAATGAAAATACAAAAATGAAGGTGTCGCCACAAAAGGATGAAAAAATCAAGAGATTGGATAAAGTAGTTATTGCAGAAGCTTCTTTTACCTCCCAGTTTTATACTAGTTTAGTGTCACTATTTTTTTGCTATAAATAGAGCCTCAACTATTTTAAATGTAAATACTGTAGATTTTGGTACGTTGTTTGTTTAAGTGTTATTTTTTTCATAGAAACTTGTAAATTTGTGTGCAAAATTGTAGATAGTAATGTGAGAAGACCCATTGTTATAAAACTAGTTGAAATAAATATTCTCAACAGAAGTCTGTTTTTTTTCATTTCTTTTATTTCTCTCTTTTCTTTCCTTAAAAAAAATGAGCTATCAATGGCAAATATCCATCAACGCTCACCTTGAATTGAGAATTGAGACTTTAAGTGACACTCAGCACAGGAGTGAAAATTGGCCAACTCATTTCACTCATGACTCCCTACTGATGTGAAAGCAAAAACCCTTCTGTAGTCGATGCAGAGGGGCATTTTTGGTTCAGTCATAAGTACAAATTTTTGTTCACTGTTTTCTCTATTCTGTGAGCTCTAGAGTCAACACCGACCGACCTTCTTTCCAATTTTCAAGAGGCACTGCTTAACTTCCTTGGAGCAAAAATATGAATGATCTTTTGAAATTAACCGAACTAGCAAAAGTTTCCAACCTTAAACTGAATCTACCCTTATCATTAAGGTATTAAGTAATGGATACAAATAGAAAATTGATACCAGTTGGAAGGAGTAAGAACCAGTGGGGTTTAATTGCATACCAACGTTGCAAAGTTTAATTTGACAATTTATCTGTTATGTACTCTAAAACGGATGCAAATTTTCTGTTTTTGATGTGGATTACCCTCGGGATTTAACTATAATTATCTAAAATTGTTTATGTAAAAAAGGTACCAATCATTATCAATCTTAAAGAAAAAAGTGTTTCAAAAGAAAGTGTAAAACGTTGCGGTGCAATTAAGCCTTTTCAGCACTCACTCCTTCGGTTGTTGAGAGTGGTGTGGATTTAGTGATTTACCTAGAGAGGGAGGCAAAGTGAAGCACACCAGAAAATAAAAAAGTAAAAAATAAGTTGTATTTCTGGGAATTTTCAATTGTAGTATTATGCACTAAAGTACCACACCAAGGATTTTAGAAATTGACTTTGACACAAGCGTCTAGTTTTCGAGCTCTGGCAACACCAAGTTGGTGTTGGCTCTGGACAGAAAAAGACCGCTTTTTTGAATTGCGCGGTCAAAGGAACACTACGTCACGTATGACGTCATTGCGACATCGATTAGTAGCTGATGGTTTCTCAAGCAACCCACCGTTGCTATCTCTCTCTAACACACAGGAATGTCCCATTGCTGATTATACGGCAGAGATTATAAAATTTCTTTTCCCGAAATTTTTAAGGCCTCTTTGGAATTTCTCGACGTTGAAAAATTTTTCTAGTACCTTCCCCATACTCTTTCCTCTACTATTTATCATTAATTTTGGCATTTCCCTTTTTCCTTGAGTGGGGAGTTGACGAAAGATATCGATGTAATTAGGCTCTATCATGTTTCCACAAATCAGCTGTGTCGTCATGTTGACAAAATTTATCACCTGTATGGACGTTAGTCGTCGCTGAAGATAGAACTTTTGTGTAACTATCAGTAAATTTCATTAATTTTTAAGAGAAAAATCGTTGAACATGTAAATTATTTCATTAAGTGTTTTCCTGTTCCGTGTGAAAAGTAGTCGTGTGTTTTTCAATTCGACTATGACGAAATTCACTCTTGTGTTTGTGATTCAGTGGTCAGCTCCTGGCTTTGTTTTCTTTCAAAATTCAAAGTAATCATTTCATTTCTTAAGTTAATAAATTGACCTCAACCTTTTCAAAATGTCTAGCTACATCAGTAGAGGCTCCACAAGGAGGTAAGTGACTCTTTTTCAAAAGTACACTGCAGTGTCTCTCTGAAGTGCTCGGTAGATCTACCGAACCACAATTGATGCAATGATTGTTTAACACTTACTTATTATCCACTCCTTTTGATCTATTTTTCTCTCGATAATAAATCTCTCTGCAAAGCAATGTTCTAGATTTTGTTGATCCTCACGCATCTGCAACGATATCAATATTTTGAGGTTATACATTGGTACCCGTACAAATACGATTCCTCAATTTCTGCTGAAAAGATGAAAATTATAAACGCTGATCTGCTACTTTTTCCCCTTACACTGCTAGACAATGCGTGATCATGCTTAAGACATTTTGTGCAGTAGCACTTTGATTTCCTAATCCAAGCTTCAATTGAAGCTGTGCTGTGAAAGTAAACTTACCCACTACTGCTTAGTTCTTCTGTAAGGACGGGGGAAAGAAATGATGGGACAATCACATCAGGAAACAACACCATTCATCAAATATTTTTTAAACCAATGTGTCAACTGATGATTGATACTGAAGCACAGGCTATTGTCCAATCTTTTCTCTCCCCAGTTCTAACCGATCGCAACCCAACGGTCTTAACGACCTTTGCTGATTGTTAAGAGCTAGGTAATGATATTCGACATTCATATGCTGACACACTATTTAGTAGGTAATTCAATCAGAGTAGGATGGTGCTGATTATATAGCATTGGGTGATTCTGTTTCCAAATAGTCCTAATCGGTTCACTTTGACAACGCACCGTAAGTACCGTAAGTGGTTGCACAAACGGTCCTGTCTTATTTTAATCATCAAAGAGAACTGAGAGGACGTGCAAGATCATATGGCCACATGGGAATCTTTTAAGTCAGACTTCAAGGTTGACTGCAGGATCTGTGTTAATCAAGGATTAGCAGTTGGCACTCTAGCTTACCGTGGCTACTCAAATTTCTGTAACTACGAAGAATTCTTCTCTGTATTAGTTCAAAAATAGGACTAGTTTTTAACTTATAAATATTGGGTTGTATACTGAATTCCCTAAACTTAAATGATCCCAGGGCCCATCTGGGAAGATCCTTAAAAAATCGGGCAAATAAACGTTAGAGCCATGTAAATGGAAATGCTGCTAGGTTTTATGTCCAATTTCAATCAATTTCTCTCTCCTGTTTCAGCGATATTATGGATGATGATGGCACTGACAAAGATGACACCAAAAGGTAAGCAGTCATTCTTTTAGCTCAGTTTATTTATTTTCGCAATTGCTCTTGCCCTAAACATTCATTTTTCCTTGTTCTATAAGGATATAAGTGGCATTTTTGAGCACTTTTGAGACAGAATCCATAGTCCTTCTAATCAGAAATCAAACAGAATCTGCCTGACCACATCAGTTGTTACCTTATTTTCTCTCCTATCCTCCTTTCCTTTCATGTTTCCTTTTATTTTTTCAGCAGAAAAATAATCAATATTCTGGTTCAAAAATTTTCGAGTAGTATATTATTCATAATCTAATTCTTGATCTTTTTTAGAACAACTGTAATGAAAATTTCAAGGCTCTTTATGGCTTTTTATTTTTTTTAGGCTTTTATTTCTCTGATAAAATCCTAAAACTTGAGAGGAAATTATGCGCCATTAAGTGCAGTCAGGCTGATTCAGGTTAAAGTTGACAAAATCGATGACCAAAGTACGAAACCGCATATCTTCATTGCAGGGTTTCAAAATTTCTGCTCCTATTTTATTTTTTTGAAGAGAAACCAGCAAACTTTACACCTTGAAATTCATACAGATTTTTCTGCTGGTAAAGAAGAAAAATCAGGAAGTTCTCCAGAAATTATGTTGACCAGTTTTTCAAGGAAATAATAAAGTACGACAGAAAGTCTGCAATGTTGCAAACAGAGATAAGTTATTTTGCACTTTGGCCATCGAAATGAAATTCAAATTATTTACTTCAGATCGACAACCTCAAAGAATATGACCGCCCTATGACTGAAGGACAAAAATTCGAGTAAGGACTTTGTTGACAAGATTTCCATTTGACCTTGCGAGGATAGAAAATAAAATGAAAGAAGAATATGCTACATACTTCCTGAGACAGAAGAATTATATTACAAGAGCAAATTGCCTACGAGAAATGAACGATATGAACAAAACTAGATGAAAAAAGCCATTAGTTTACTAGTAATGGTCTACGTTATCAATTGTAAATGGTTATTTTTGTGCTAGAAGCAGGCAAACAAGATCTGTAAATTTTTACTTTAAACATCATTTAGTTTTGTAAATTCCTTAAATTCAATTTTCTCCCTCTATTACAGGAGATCCAGAAATCTCAGCGAGAAAAAACGAAGGGATCAGTTCAACATGCTGATTAATGAATTGAGCTCAATGGTGTCTACGAACAGTCGGAAAATGGACAAATCTACAGTTCTCAAATCCACAATTGCTTTTCTCAAGAACCACAATGGTAAGTATCTGCAAGTTTTTTATCATACCTCACTTATTCTATTGTTATGTGCTCAAAAATTCAAAGTATTCAGATATTTTTTTAATGGGGATTATTTTCTGGAGTTGGAGGACAAGGCCCAAAGGCAATAAGTTGCAACTTCATCCTAGATTTGTCAGTTTTTTCTTTCAAGAAAACTTGGAATATTTCTGCACTTGTATCTTCAGAATCACTATTATGTAGCTTGGCAACTTGGCTCTGAAAAATCTACCTTATCGCACCTTTTTTTTTTCTTTCTTATTTTAGGGATCAAATGAGGAAAAACTTAACGCACTGTAATTTTTGAAATTTTTTTAAGTGCTTTAGCTCCCCCAGTAAGTTTGGTTCAAAAATACTCTGGTCAACAAAATATTTAAATCATTGTGTCTTGTTTGAGTGAGAATATTTCCCTCTCAAATTTGACCAACAAATTCTCCTGTTGCCAAAATGTTCAAGCAACATAAACATTTTCCTCTTCATGCATAATGGGCCAAACCGTTGAGATAGGTAGAAGAATGAGTTCATGACAGAAACTTTATTGAGGCATTCATGCTCAAACGAGTTAATTTTTTCCTTGTGAAACCTATCATTTATCTTTATCACTGTGAAATAAAAACGATCTTTGCGGAAAATTTTCAGTGGAAGAAAGTTTAAAACACTTTTAAACTATCATTATTTAGAGAGCTATGAGAAAATATTTTTGTGCCCGGAGGATGTCTGGTTTCATGAAGAGGTTATCTGTGATTTACTCGTATTAGCAGACCACCAATGTACGTTTTGGTCCTTACTTCCTCCTTACCATTTTTTCTTTTTGTTGTCTTCCAGAAATAGCAGTGCGCTCAAGAGCGCATGAAATTCAAGAAGATTGGAAGCCCTCATTCCTCTCAAATGAGGAATTCACACATCTAATTTTAGAGGTAGGTCCATTTCTATTTCATTATTCACTTGTAACTTGTATTCAAGACTAGAATTATTTTAAACGTGACACCAGTTCAGTTTTGGAAATGCTTGCCACCAAATGCAAAATTCTTTGCCCACCAACTGAATATGTGACTGCCGTATTTGTAAAGAGAATAGTTAAGAAATAGTTTTAAATCAATTTCAGAATGAATAGGTTTTCTCTTGAGATAGTCGTCTGTAAAATCAAGGTGTCTCCGAGTCTGAGAAAGGAAAACCTGGGTTAATTTAACTTATTGATCCCTCAGACTTTCATATGAACGTATTTCTGTCAAACGGAACTAAGCGCCATTGGGGGAGGAAGGTAGAAGGGGGCTTGGATTGGCAGCGGAACCGGGCGTTGGGCTCACTCTGTCCTATACTCGCAATGCTTTTCCATGGCGCTTAGGTCCGTTTGATAGAACGCGCTATCCGGCATTCCAAATTCCTCAAACAGAACTCAAATTGGCGCTTAATTCCGTTTGGCAGAAATACGTCCATATGAAGTAGAGGAATTTTTTTTCTTTTGCTAGCTTTTACTTAATCCTCTGAGTTTTTCATGATGCTCAAAATCGAGGCTCTGGCAGTTTCTTAAAAAGAGAACAAGTGAACTTTTTAAGAAGTAAGAACTAATGTTCAAAATTTCCTCTTTTTTTAGGTGCTCAATAAAAGCATTAATTATTTAAGTCTTGTTGTTCCATACTGTTCGAAAAAACATAAAAAAGTCTGATAAAAGTAGATGTAAAATTTTGTTACTTACTTGTGGTAAAATTTAATTAATGGTGACGCGTTTCGGAGCTTAGAGCTCCATCACCAGTCGGCAGTGACATCATGATGGAGCTGCAAGCTCCAAAATGTACTTATCTGCCATTAATTAAATTTTCTCGCAAGTGAATATCGACATTTTATACATTTTTTTTATCATAATTGACTTGTGGCTATTTCCTTCCACAAAGTTTCTGGGAAAAAGTCTAAAAAACTTTTTCCTGAGCTCTTTTGGCAACAGGAAATCAAGCAATTTTCATCTCCGATTCTTACGTTTTTCAATTTTTTTTTCAGGCATTAGATGGCTTCATTATCGTTTTTTCTCTGTCAGGCCAGATCATCTACATATCTGAAAGTATAACGTCATTATTGGGGCATCTACCTGTAAGTGAAGTTTGCTATACAGTTAACATTCAACATCTAGTTCAAACCTTTTTGTAATCAGGGCCTATTTTATGGACAATTTCGTCGGAAGTTTAGCATAAGTCAGCATGAGGAAAAGAAAAAAAAATCCTTGTGGAAGTGTTTGATCATACCGTTTGGAAATCCATAAATAGTGGAGTCAGGGAATTAGTGTATGAAGGAATTACGGAAATCATGAATCATTGTAGCGTTTTTATTGCGTTCAAACTTTTTTTCCATGAATGGGTCTCCACTGAATAGTGCAACATTAGTCTCATCAAAGTCTGCCAGCAGGTAAATACAGACTCAGCACTGTTAGTTTTGCAAATTCTGAACTTGAAAAAATTATCATATTTTTGCTTTGCTGATATTCATAAATCGTCAAAATCCATGAACTTTTTGTTTTTCCCAGTGGCGTGGCGTGCTTTGCGATAAATCGATTGATCTACCATTTAAACGTATGGGAATGGATCGATTAACAGGGTGTTCGCAATGAACACCATAGTAATCGATTCTTTGCCATAGCTTCCAATGGGGAAATATCGATAATCGATCATTCACGCCTCGCCACTGTTTTTTTTGCTGTTTTTGAGACACTGACCACGGAAAATACAGTTCTAAACCTATTACTTATGTGAGGAGACAATATATTTCCAAGACCCTGCACTAACAATGTGAGCAATGCTAACGGGCAAGACAGAAGTTTCATTCAGAGGTTAAAGCTACTTTTCGCCTAATAATGATAGACAAGCAACTTATTGAGTACAAAATTTACCAAATAACGACTTACGATTTTTGGAGTGAGTACTTTTCCAGGCGACTCTTTGCAAATTAGGTAAGGATTGCTAAATCAATTGCTCAGCTTTTTAATTATCTGTTATTATTAGGTGAATCTGAGCGTTGACTTGGGGTAGTAACTTTTACACAGTAGGGAAGATAATAGTGCAGGGTCCATAAAATATATTTTGTCTGTTTTAGTGTCAGCGTTTCTAACAGTTACTAATCGAATTGTTTATTTAGTACACTGAAGGGAAAAAGGTAATGGTATTTTTGTTCGGCTCGGTCAGGTGATTCAAAACAAAAAATTCTCTCATTGACTAGCGGGCACCGTTCTTTGCCACAACCACAACTATGAAAGCAAGGCTACAATGGATCTATCCTGGATTTTAATGATTCTGATCCTAAGCACATAGTGTTAAACTTCTCCCTGAAGTGCTCCAAACCTCAATTTCTCAGTTTATTGTGCTCTCTTTTGCATCGTGCCTTAATCATTACTTTTATTAGTTTTACACTGATTTACATGTATTTTTTTGGCATCCTTTTATCTTTTAATCTTCTTTTTGATTTTGATTGTTTGAAACTCAATTTACCGTCATCAAAAGTCCTCAATTTTTTTTTTTTTACAGAGTGACCTTCTCAACTCCAGTGTGTATGATTTGGTGTCAGAAGAAGATTATAAAGAAATTTTCAATGTTCTGAATCACCCAGCAGTTAACATCCAATATAATGCAGACAAAGGTATTCAAAAATTCACTTGCTGCTTTCTCAGAATCAATTTCAGCCGAGTTATTTTTAAAATACTTGTACCCTATGGAATATATTTCAAAATTTCATACTAAAGCATAAAAATAAATTGCTGTGCTGAACCTTTCTTGGGAATACACTCTAGTTGGTATTTCATTTCCCTGCAAGTTCTTGGGACTATTTTTGCATTTCCCTACATAATACAAAGGAATAAAATAAAATCGTTTCATTGCCCCGCAGCAAAAAAAAATTAGATTTTCATTGTCCCACACATAACTTATTAGACTCAATGTCAGGCAAATTATTGTAAAAGATTCTTTTTGCACGTGTTTTCTTCTGTGTTGATTTTAATTTGGGAATAAAGTGTGCCTGTCAGTACTTAGCTTAAGGAGTTCCCTCATGGGAGTAGTATCTGAAAATTTGGTTCAACTCAAACTATGAATTACCTAACCTAGTAAGCACATCGCAGGCAACTGAGACCAAATGACAAAGGTGCGGAGGAACAAAACTGTAAAATTTTTGCGCAGGGCTGTGTAACAATTATGTTTCATTTCCCCGCACTTTTCATGGCACTGCAATAAATTGGTTTCATTGTCTTGTGCTATCAATTTTGTCGCATTGCTCCACACACCTTAATAGGGTCTGTTTCACAAAGCAATAGTCGTAGGGCGTTGCATTGTTACCTTTTCTCTGCCCTTCGAATAATTTTTTATTTACTTCGCACTTAAATAATGATTTATATTTGTCAATGTAAGTCAATCTCGGCTGATGCTTATTCATGACATCTTTTCAATTTCAGAAAATAAAATTTCCTTTACGTGCCACTGTAAGAGAAATGACATAGATTCTAAAGACGGACAAATGTACGAGCCTGTACAATTTATTGGCTACTTCAGTAAGTTTCAAAATATATCCTCTTTGAACTCTACTTTTTTGTTTCTTTCCATTCTTCAGCAAGCTATCTTTACTGTTGGGTGTAAAACTTCCACGTCAACATACTTTGAAATTCAAGCTAAGAATATCTCTTAATATACTAAACTTCAATTAACTTATGGTCATCTAATACATCCTAATTTGTGTTGCATACGATTGTGTGATGTAAAAATTTCGAAATATTCTCAATTTAGTCATTCAATCTTAATTTTGTAATATGCAACTTAGACTATGCCGTTAGTTTTCCCATGCAAATAAGTGCTCTAATGTATGGACTAGAAATTTTAGTTCCTCAGCGCACAATGCAGTCCATTTTAAAGCTTAGTACCTTTCGTTCTCATAATCTCATGCCATGCTTCCCTGTCCTTTGTTAATTGTAAGTGTCTATTTTTGGAAAGTGTCTTACTTATTGTTCTTTTTCTCTATTTATTTTACAGGATCAAAAACAGAATCCACTTCCACCGACAGCGGAGGATCTGAAAAAATGTATGAGTTTTCAAATGAAAGCGACTCTAGATATCTAAGCTCACCAGATGATTCAAATGAAAGTAAAAGGTGTGGTTTTTAATAAAAAAACTTTCTCCCATGTATTTATTGCAGTTATCAAAATTAACAGAATTGTTGTAATGGAAATTCATAGTTGAATTTGGGGTACCTTTCAAGCAATTTCTACAGAATTAGTCCGTATAGTTCAGAAGGCATTGGATTGCGATCAGTAATTGCTCACATATCTGGCTGGAGAGTAACCATGAGCTCATTAAAGTTCTTTAAGTATTGGCCTGCATGGAGGAATAATGCTTGCTTCTTTGAAGGTGTTGAAAATATGTTGGAATAAACTTACTCGCTCTGCTGGCCAAATTCTTTTTTTTACCACCTTGTTTGGATACTTGACATTAACAATTTACATCCAGTTGCCAGTGAAGCTAATCCTATGTTGTGTGGCACTGTAGATTATGCACAAATTTTACACGAAAATAACTTTAAATGATAAAGATAACGCTATGAACAATGATCTTACATGACACTGATTGAAATGATTATATGACACTGTGATAAAGCTCCTAACCACAAAAATTACTGTAAACACAACTCATCCAATATATTGGAATGATGGGGGGAGGGGGTATTGGCTGAAACGTTACATCGTTTGGCTAAAAAGTTTATCTTGAACTCAAGTCATAACTTGAAAGTCATGCAATTAGTCTCATTTGAACATAAAATCTAGCATTCAATTAAGTTAATTTGTGTCTATTAATCACGCCTTTTTTTCCAGATTAATTTTTGTTGGAACAGGGAGACTTGAAACTCCTCAGCTCATAAGAGAGATGTCTGTCGTTGACTCCGCTAAAAGCGAGTTTACGTCAAGACATAGTTTAGAATGGAAATTCCTTTTTCTGGACCACAGGTTCGTCTAGTTGTAAATGATTATTCTTACTCATTGACTCCCCTACCTTCTGATACTTTGATTTAAGTCACTAAATTTTTTCTTGCTGCACATGAACATGTTTTATTTAAATCTAAGGGAATCAAAACTAAAATTATAAAATTTCCCATTAACTGAATTTTATTTTTACCTAATCTTGTTAAACTGCATTAAAATGTTTGCTCGATGAAGACTCTATTATTGTCTTAATAGTTAGTGTGAGTATCATTTTCTCATGGCCTGAAAAAAAGAATAACGCATTTTTAGGCCAGAGTGTTGGAATACCATGAAAATAAACCGATGGAATAGAAAATAATGAAAGCACTCTTGGCCACTTGAATTTCAACTTTTATGGCACCAAGTCATATCGCAGCCTTTTTTCTTTAGTTTTCATCACTCACTTTTGACAGCTCACCCCTGGTGAAGCTCTTAGGGTGGGTGCAGCAGTAACAGTTGCCTTATGAAGTCCTCTAATACTTCAACTTTTTTTTTAATTTTGAGAAATCACTCAACTTTAATTTGGAGATCTTGAATTAGGCATGATCTGTAGCCTGATCGGTTTTTTCAATCATGGTAATTTTTGAAGATTTTTTCCTCTGCTATGGAGTCTCTTAAAATGTTGAATATGTTATTGTTCTTCCGTTTTGGTTGGCTCCTCCAGATAACTGCAATAGACTACTAGACAGGGTACGAATTTCAGCATTCTGATACATGTTTCTTAAACAAAATTTCACGTAAAACACAGCGCGCACAACGAAAATTACTGAAATTAACTCCTTACGAAGATATTTAATGATTCTTGATGCGTAAATTCAAACCACCCGCTCACGAAAACTCAACGCTCTAAGTGATTCACATCGCGCGCTAAACGTTATCATGACAGTCTCTGCTATATTAAAATCTGGCAACCTCAATTTTGACGCTTTGGCTCAGCTATAGCAAATTGCTTATAGTTTGAACAACAAATGGTGGGAAATGAACATTGCTCGATTGAGAAGATTGCTTAAACCGTTGTAGTGCACGGTTTGACTAACGTAGAGCTTTGAGTTTCTTGTGAGCGGGCAGTTCAAATTCCTCGTAACCAATGTGAAGTAAAAACGTTAATATCTTCGTTAGGAGTTCGTTTCAGTAATATTCGTTGCGTTAATCGTGTTCTACGTGAAATTCTGGTTAAGAAACATATATCAGATTGCTTAAATTCGCACCTTGTCTAGTGGTCCATTAAAGGTATAGGGGTTTCAATTTTTATTTTTTTTTTGGCATTCGTTAATACCTCCAAAACATTTTCCGTTTATTCTGGAAAGTCCTTTAAAATTTTATCAGCTGTCTCTTGTGCGGTCTTTTCACTTAGGTTCAAAATCTCACTCTCCCCTGCTCCAAACACCAAATGAGAGGCTTGGAAGACAAGGCGCATAAGTGCAGTCTCGGAAAAAATTGAGATACTAATGATTGCAAGTAAATCAAGTCCTAATACATATTCTGTGAAAAATTCGCCCCAAATTCCAATTTTTAAGCATCAAAGAGTCAGTTTGAACTTTCTTTCTGCCTTAAGGACCGTGTAATTTCGGAACTTCAAACCCGCGTTTCTTGAAATAGCAAAAACGGTACTTATGCACTTTGTTCTCCAAGCCCCTCGAATATCGAATTCTGTCATCAAAAGTTCTAGAATATAAAAACAACTAAAAAACAGCTGCTCAACATTTATCTTTCCATTTATTTTTGCACAAAATTCCAAATAGTTTTGCAATTTTCAGGGCGCCTCCGATCATCGGCTACCTGCCTTTTGAGGTACTGGGAACCTCTGGTTACGATTACTACCATGTTGATGATCTCGACAAAGTCGTGCTGTGCCATGAAGCTTGTAAGTACTAAAATAGAAAATCAAATGAGACAAAAACCGTGTTCTGCTATAAAAGAAAACTATTTATCTTTGGCTTCCTCACTGGAAGCTTAGCCTCTTCTGTTTTTTTCAATATAAAATTCTAATCTAATATACTCTCTCCTTGCTAATGGACTAATTGGTCAACTGTCGTTAGAACGCAAGAAAAGAATTCCACATCAGTTATGTTTGCCAAAGTTTTGATGACTGCAACTCGAAAAGTAGATAATACATAGAATAATGAAATCTTTTTAATTTAAGTTTTCACACTCAGTGTCATAGGAAGTACGTATCATCCTCAGAAAAATATGGTGGATGACTATGGTAATTCTAGAAAGTTGGCAACACTGTTGATACTTCGTTTAAATCTATTGAATGTATCGATTGTAGTGATACAGGCTGCCTCACCGAGAATCAATTGCTTAACATACATTTGATCACAATATCCTTACAGAACTAAAGTGGAGCCTCCAGTGATTGCCCTTTATCAAATCCTTCTCTCTTTCCCTAAGATCTCGCCATTTTTTTTGTAAATCCTCTGAATTTCTAACTTTTTAAGTAACCTGAATAACCTATTGAATCTACTAATTTTTTCATATTTTTTACCCCATTCTAGTGATGCAAAAAGGAGAAGGCACATCTTGTTTTTATAGGTTTTTAACTAAGGGCCAGCAGTGGATTTGGTTGCAAACTAGATTCTACATAACTTACCATCAGTGGACTTCAAAACCTGAATTTATCGTTTGCACCCACCAAGTTGTTAGGTATGCTTTATTGTTTTTTTCCTATTTTTAGATAGTTATTCCCATTTGTTCCAGAATTCAACAAGAGCCTTGTTTGCTTCTTTTTTGCCGCAGGGGAAATTTGCAACACTGAAGGATAGAAAAAGAATTGAAGTAACAAGTGACCATAATCACTGATAGAATAGCTTTACAATTATTAAAAATCCATTGTAACAAAGAGTAGAGTATCGATATTTCCTAGAAGAATACTAGTTTGAAATCCAACAGGGCGGTGGCGTACTTTTACCTTTAAAATTTAAGTGTAAATTTTACACTTTAGTAGTTGCACTACTGAAATAGGAAACTTATGAAAAATTGTTCATCATTTGTTTTCTTACTTTTTCAGTTATTTGAACGTAATGAAGCAAATGCGGCGGCAGGCAGGGGCAGGAGTTAATGACGACAGCAATAGCACGGGTGAAAGGAGTGCTTCAACGAGCGCGTCGGCATACAGAAAATCTTCGAACAACAGTCGGAGTAATAATCGATATCTTAGTAAATGTAGCAAAGGTATGTTCAAGAGTTCTTCATTTTGCTGCTTTCCCAAAGTGTCCAGTCAGAAGTATTAAGAATGAAATGGGGTTTTGAACATTTTAGTCATGATTTTCGGGACTAGTTGTAAAAGTTTTTAAATTTAAAAGAATTCAACCGCCAGTAACAAGGCTCGAAAAAGCACATTAAACCAAGATGTTGTGGCTGGAAACACCACAGCCTCCCTCAGTTAGAAAAAAACGTATTAAAATTTAAAATTTTAAAAACTTGGTACTTGGTTGTACCTTTCCAAGAAGAGGTGAAAAATGTTCAATTTATAATTCACATGGAGTGTGAAAAAACTTCTGGAGGAAATCAAAGAAGCGCCTTTCTACCTTCATTTTATTTTTTGTTCAAAGATTCATTTATGATGCGTATTTTTTAATTTATATTTTCTTCACAGGGAAAAGTTCACATTATGAAAGCAGACTATCAAATAAATCTCAATTTTATACCCCTGGTGACAGCTCAAATTCAACAACATCTTTATCAACGGATTCTTCCTCACTTGTCTCTAGACATCACACATCCGTAAGTCAAGTCCACTAATATGATTTATTTTTGTAATTCTTCGTTCTTTTACTACATTCAATGCTGAAGCGTCCTCAGAGTTAAATGAAAAGAGTCTCTCCCAAAGGAATGATAGTAACCCAGAATCGATGGTCAAAGTGCAGAACTACAAATCTCCATTTGCAACGTTGCAAGCTTCCTGTCATATGTTATTTTTTCTTTGGAAAACTAATATGCTTAATTTTTTTAAAACTGACTTGATTTTTCTTCTCTATCAGCAGATTATTCTATATAAATAAAGTATGAAGTTGGCCTGTTTCTCCTCAAAGAATAAAATTAGAGAGAAAATTCTGAAACACTGCGATGAAGATGCGGTTTTGTACTTTTGCCGTTAATTTATTGTATTATTATGATATACCAAGCAAATAGTATCATAATTAAACTTTCTACAATGAATGAATGAAGGAATGAATTTTATGACTATTTTATCGACATTCCCTTTTTTAAAAAATTGCAAATATACTTGCTTACCTGGGTGGTATGCTATTACCGACAGTACGTATGTTTTATCAATTGCGATTTTTGGTTTATGTTATAAAAGTAAGGATAATCAACTTTTTTTTCCTTCCTCACAGAGACAAAGGACAAATAATGCTTCCAGCCATTCTAGCCAACAAATTCCCCAGTCGCGATCAATGAGTGTGAAACCCCAACCAGCCATGACCTTCTACGAAATGCCACCAGCTGTCTATAATCTTGCTGCAGTTCCTTCTTATCCAATTCAAGGAACTGTCAGTCCAAATGTACCCCCTGAGGTTTGTTTTGCTCAACCACTAATTCAGATTATTTCATTTTTGTTAGAATCAAGTTCCGTTTTTCCAGAAAAATCGCATTTCTTAGCAAAATAAAAGTAATTGTGACGCTCTTTGAAGACTTCATACGGGAACTAACAGGATTTGGTAACTACCAAACTTGATCAGTTTCCTCAGAATTTCTGAAGATCATTCTACAAGAATCTAAATAAAATTTTACCAGCTCGATGAAAAGTTCAGGTGCCTCCATGCTGAAATATGTAGTCTTAATTCCCTCAAATTTGTTTAAAGTCTAAAAACTTATCGTTAGATAAGAAAATTTTATAAATACGTATAGTAAAACAACATGTTTCAAAAATGACACCCCCCTTCCCCTCATCCACTAGGTTCCCCTCAAATTTTGTCTATTTTTAGTGTATTTTCCGAAGAAAATTTTTTATGCACTGGAAATTGTAATAACATCTGATTGGAGTTTCTCTTTTTCTTTCAGCTTTTAAGAACAAGTCAGCCTTTAGTTATGGCCTCAAACCAGTCTGAAATTCAAGATCAACTTCAAAGAAAGCACGAAGAACTACAACAGTTGATAGTACAACAGCAAGAGGAACTGAGAAAGATTCACGAACAACTGATCATGGCCAAATGTGGTTTCTTGCCCCCAATGGGGAACGTGAGTAGTCTTATGCTTTTAGATTGAGAAATTTCTACCGCACCTAAAACTAAAGATTGGTTGATGATGTGGAGATTTTGTCTATAACTAAGCAAAAGTCAGCGCAATGAAAAGAAAAGAATTTAAGTGAAGGTTTTGAACAGGGAATCAGAAAATGAAGAAACTTTGGAAACCCTACAACTGTTTTTGGATGAGAAACAATATCAGCATTCAGAAGAGCAAAGATTACTCTCTTCCCTCTGCAAAGGGTGCAAGTGGTTAATACGTTCATTACAGAGCAAATCATGGTGATTTTTTCAAGTGTTTGCCACAGGCAAAAGCAGTTTTTGACCATTCATTTCTCCAACATGTGTATACTTTATTGTCAAGCAATGAGAATACTAGCTGTAGATGTACTGTGAGGGTAATTGTATAATGAACTTTATAGACGCATGCAAGCGCAGCGTTAGTGGCACGGCAGTCTTTTGTAATAATGATTTACAGCCCTCCCATTTCACCAATTTTCTTGGCGTAACAGGAATGTGCGAGCAAAAACATTTCAGCAGCAAACGTATGCCCCCTCAAATGTGTTGGTAACCCTTTTCAAGGCTAAAAGGATAGAAAATTTGCAGAAGTATGAAATTTTATGAATTTCATGTTTAAGGGGAAACTTCAGAGTGAATAAATTGAGCCTTTTGATATCCTCAGTTGTAAACTTGAACAGTTATTAGAGAATCTGTAACGAAATGGCCCAGTCTGCTAAAATAATGTGTTCAAGTGAGAAATGCTGCCTGATGACATCATAAAGCGGCGACCTTTTTCAATTTTATATCGATTTTCCTACAATTTCGCACATTAGTAAAAAGTTATAAAATCGCTGCGAACTCTTTTCATGAAGCTGTGAAATTTTCCAAGCTATTTCAAATTTTTCTAGCCAATTCTCCATTCTTTCATTGATTTGGTTAAGTTTCTTTTTTTTTTAGTATCTTTCAGATAAAACTGCCAAAAATAATTTATTTTTAGTTTTTTGACTCAAAGTTATTCTTTGCTTCAGGCTCCAACACTTTGCCCCGGAGGAAGTGAAAGTTCAACTTCTGTTGAAGCGCAAGCGAACTACGCAACAAGACCAGCAATGATGCTTAATCTACATCAGGTAAATCTTATGCTTGTATCTAATGCAATTTGGTTGTCTTGCAAAGAATTGTTTGCACGAATTAAAATTTTGGAAAGTTCTAACATAATTCGAGGGGTGACCTCCCAATCTTTCCCTTCGTCAAAGGAGGGGGCAGCGGCAGCCGTCTTCATCAGGTCATCAGACTCCTCCACCTTACCATTAGTATTTTGTCACCGCAGAATCAAAACTGTTAGGTTGGTTCTCTAATTTCTAATGGAAGATAGAAAAAACTGCACTACTTTGGTCATTCTCAATGAGAAGTAAAATCCATATTCCAGCTTTATTGTCTAAATTTCACTCAAAGACAATAAGCCCTTAACTATGAAATTGTTCAAAATATTCCCAAACAATAGTTTCAAAAACTGACAGATTTTTGGTGTTGATCAGTAATGAATGGGTCAGTTGCGCTGGTCACAGAATTGTACTTTGATGCTTGATTCATGCTGATTAGCTAAAAATGACAAGATCTGTCCAAAAAGCAACTTTCTACGTTCAGTATTAACAAGGATATTGCGCTTTGAAAAATGCGGTATATGATGTGATCCACCGTGGTAATGACACCCTTGGTTTCTTCCACCTTGCTCTTTTCAATCAGTGAAACTAACATTTGCAGTGGCCACTCAACGAAGAACCTGGATGAAAGCAAGGTGGAAAAAATCAAGAGTGTCACTACAGCGGTGGATGACATCATAAAACGAATTTTTCAAAGCATGATATCTCTGTTGATATTAAACATAGAAAGTTGCCATTTGGACAGATCTTATTATTTTGAGCTAATCTACAAGAATCAAGCATCAAAACACGATTCCGTGACCAGCGCAACTGACCATTATCACAAGGAAAGAAACTTGTGGTCCACTTCAAATGAAATTAGCTTCTTACAAATGTTCTCCAATTTGGGAATGTCTCATAGAAATTTTTGATTCAACTCTTTGTTCATATTTTGCAGCCGAACGTCCAAGCGCAGTCCTCCGAAGAGTTGATTCCGTATCAAATGTCTCAGCAACAAGCACAACTTCTGCTCTCATCAAACATGACTACGCCCAACTCTTAATGAAAGTAAGCTGTTAGCCCTAAGGAAAAATTTTTATTTTTTATACTTTTTTCTCAATTAAGTCAGTTCAAATTTTAAGATTGATGTTTCCCCCTACAAGGAGGAGTTCCACCCTCAATGTTTAATCAATTTATTTGGAAGACAATACATCAACTTTTCCAATAACTTTCTCGGTGATCATATTTTCTCTCTGTTGCCAACTTGTGCACAGGCATGGAAATTGTCTTACTAAATGGGTTTATTTATTTTTTTTTTCCTAGATAACAATGGTTCAAAAATTCTTTTTCATACGTGGCTTGATTTTGAGCTAGTTCAGCTCTGAATCTGAGTTAAGTAAGAAGAAAGAAGGAGGTAATCTTGTTCTTTGTGGAATGTGCAAAATGTAACTGCAGTAAAGTGATTGTAATACTTAAAAAAATATTCCTCCTTCTAAGAGAGAATAAGGAAAGTGAAGACAGATGTTTCTCCCATCTTGGCAATAATTTGCTTTGCTTTTGCAATTTAAACAAAAAATTTGACTTATTATCCTTTTACTTTTCCTCCAAACCACTCTCAAAATTTAAGGGAAAAAAAACATTAAATCCTCAGATTTGGTTTTCTTTTTTGCTTCAATCTGAATTTTTGTACACCAGTCAGAAAATTTCTTTTATTTTAACACGCAGACTGCCAATGGCCAGACACTCAGGCGCCCATCATTGCGCCCGCTTGGAGCTTACAGAGACTTACATGCACATAATGGTAAAATCATAGCGCTGCAGAAAGCATTAAACATGGGCCATTGGCGGTAAAAAAATTAATAGTTATCAGGTTTATTCTAAAAAGAAAAATCTGACATTATACATCACGATAAAGCATGCTGCTTGTAAAAACACTCCAAGGAAAATTCGAAGTTTAACTCCAAATTATTTTTGCAGTCATGACTCTTTGAAATTTACTCACAAAATTAAAGACATTTTGGGTATTACTGGTTAAATATTCAAAAATTCTCCCATTTTATCATGAATAAAGAAATTTGAAGCATCGTAAGAATCCCTATTTGAGCTCATTTAGTAATGAACTAACCATCCAAGCATCTTTTCCCTGTACACTGTTCCATTATCGATTTATGAAGGCCGCTGCATATCGTCGTATTTCCAATTTTCATTTTTCTTCCAGTTTTTTAAGGAGCTCTGCAAGCAGCTTTGAAAAAATATGTACGGCAGTCTTTAGCAGTCTAAAAACCTAGGGTTCAAGACAAGGTTTCCTTTCAACAACCAAATGTTCATCCTATTTTCAATGGTGGATTGACCTGGTACATTTTAATGTCAATGATTATGGTTATCATAGTTTAGTGGGCGTATGTCTATCAAAGCGCTTTGACCATTAAAAGTATAATTTTTAGCTACTTACAGATCATTTACTTGAATTTCTCATGATTTTTTAAAAGTTTGATCATCAAATTGAAGGCTGCTTTGTCTTTGATTAGTATAGAAATAGTTATTACTATGTTCTCTGTTGTATATACTTGTTAAAACAATTATGGGAACAAAAAATTTGTTAAATTTTTAACTTTCACATTTCGTATTTTAATGTAATCCTGAATGGAATGTTTCTACCCTGAACTGTATTCATGGTGTACCTAGCATAATTTTTGTACCTATAGCTTTTCTTCTATCTGTAATAAGTATGTGGTATACTAAATACTCAGGTTTTGTTATTAATTCAAATATTTTACCTAGCTAATAGTTGTCAGAAAAAGACCGAAGATTCTTTGAAATTTGCCTGTCCATGAAATTTTTGTCGTATTTGTCCCCACCCATTTGCCACCACTTGTTTTTGAAAACAGACTTAGTCTACAGCTGAACGTCACCACTTTATACGATGTACTTTCTCTAGGCTCACCACTTTTTCTTTCTTCTAGTTGCTTCCTCGATTGATATTTTTCTTAGTGAATTTTGGAAAAAATCTCATTGGTTTTACTTGTAAATATCAAAAGAAACTTAAAATAACCAGTGAAAAAAATTGATAAAATTTCACAGTTCAAGCTCCTACTTGCCTCACAATGGGACTGTCACATGATTCTAAAAATAGCATAATGTACAACAAACAGGCCACTAGACAGGGTATGAGTTAAAGCACTACGTATGTAGAATTGTGTTCCCTCTTCAGAATTCCACTAGGAAGACGAATCATGTGATAGCTAGTCTAAAAATCAACTTCAGGTATTCACAGTTAACATTGAGTGAATGGCAAAAATACAAATTACGTCATTTATATGATCTATCTTCCATTTGATCCTTGTTAAAAATACTTCTTAACATCTCAGTCCAATACCTGGTTTCCGAACTTCCGACTGTGTGAATCGTTTTGTACGTAAGATTTTGAAGAGGAAACATGTTACGTTTTCTTCTAATTCAAACCTTGTTTAGTCGCTCATTATTTGTAAAATTTAGCAAGAAATGCATTTGAGTACTTATAAAAGCTCTAGTGATAAAGAGTTAATGTAAAGTTACCCATTAGCACTGTTGACCAACGGCCTTAACCACCATGGATCTCGAGTAAACAAATCAGTAATACGGCTCGTATTCATGAAAATGTCCTCGGAAGTTTTCTGTTTTTGTAAATTTATCTTATGAGTGTATAAGCCTGGAGCAACTCACCACCTTAAACAACTGTAAATTCTCTTGAATGTAAACAATAGTGGTAGAGACGCAACGGTCAGTTGTACACGTTACACCAAGAAATCTCTTGATAAGATATTTTTCTGTTAAAAGGTGGTTAAATTTATAGCGACTTTGAAAGTTGTTTCCTAAGCTAAAATTTAATAATAGACAAACGAAGAAACATTTCTCTCTTTAATTTGAAAGAATTTTCCATAGAGGAATGGAAATATTTTTAAACGGTTCCATTTGATTCTAGGTTTTGTAACTTTTAGGAAAACATCATTCGATATTTTTTGATCCGTCATTCCTTTTATAATCGCCCTCTGCCATTCTGGAAATGTTAGTAGTTCATAGAAGGTAACATTCATTTTCCCAGTAAGAGGCATCCTCTGACTGCCTGATCAATTTGACAGGCATCTTTTTGTAATTTTTTTATACATAATGTATTAAATTTTTCGAACCGAGAGAAGTTTAAGTGCTAATACTTGTTTTTAGTTACTATCAATGGTTAATCAATCTCTATAGTGCACTCACAGCTCTATGAAAGTTAGTTTTCTTGAAGCATAGTACAGCAAATCTTGGATCATCCAAACTCCTTTCTGGGAGGAATTTTAATGAAACGTTCTCTAACTCAAATAGTTTTTCAGGTCTAGAACTGATAAGTGTATTCTCGCCTGAAGTTGGTCACAAATTGTTGCAATTTTTCTTGTTGTATTATGTTTGTGAATGGTGTCAAGTTTTTAGCCGCGTATTTTTAGGTTGTCTTCAGTGATCTCATCCTAATTTTTTATATCCAGACTTGACTGGCTCTCCTGTCAGTTTGGATGATCCAAAGTTTTCTTCTTTTTTTTCATCAAGGAATGCTGCATTAAATCAACAACCCGCTCAAGTCACTTCCAGAGCGTTTCTCAGTTTTTATGTTTTTAGAAGTAAGTGCTACGTATAATGCAAGCACGTTTAGAACCACAGAAAAATTTACACAGCAGATGTATGTAAATTTTTAATTTACTTTAAAAAAGTATGAAGTCTTATTCATATTATCAATTTGATTTGAGGAGGTCATTTCAAAAATTCACCATTAATGTTACCAGAAGTAAGAAGTGTGCTATGGTTTCCGATCTTGAGAGGGGTGTGGACATACTTCTGTATTTATAAGTCAAAGAAGCATTACTACATTTTCACCGATTTGAGGAATAAGGGGAAAACCATGCGACAGTTCCCTTGCCTGCTGCGTATTTTGTAAATTTAACAACCCTGTATCCAAGGCCTGGTGTTAGTTTTTATTATCAACTGTTTTACACTGATAGATCCTTTAATTAATATGTCGAGAATGTGAATTTCTTGATTTTTCCAAAATTTTCAGTTCCGCTTCTTTGGCTCTTAACTATAGAATTTAGGATGTTCGAAAATTATTATGAGGTGAACCTTTACTTATTTATTTATTTAATTAATGTCTCCTGCCTTAATGTATTGAATTCCCACAAATAACTTTTGTCTTTATAATGTATTGTTATTTTTGGAAATAGAGAAGACAAGTGGGTCTTTTTTACTTTTTAATGAGATCGTGAAAATTTTCAAGAAAACGGAAATTTTGAAGTTATACTCCACCCATACTAAATTGTGATCCTAGAACAATGCAGTCATGGATGTTATCAGAATCAGAAATATATTATAAGCCTCTTTTTGTATTGGTCAATTTTCTCTCCTCCTTTGAAGTACTAAATAGCATATTTCTCTTTGTTGTTCGACCAAATTTAAAGAGAGTTGCAAAATTCTTGTTATTAGTTCTTTATTTTGTTTTACACACTGACATTCCTTACAATTTTATTTTTTTTTTTCTTTGTCCAAATTTTAAAATTATCATTCCATTTATTGCATATCTGAGTTGTAAAACCTGAAAAAAAAAAATTATTATTATTACCTGCCTGGATTATTTTACGTTGTTATCCGAAAGTTTTGGGTGCTTTTATTCAAAGATTTTAGATCACAAATGTTTTTTGTTTTCTTTATTTGCTCTCTTCTATGTAAGTTAATCGTCAGTCAGATAATTGTCAATATTAACGATGTAGTCATCAAAAGAAGATAGAAATAGAAAAAGAAACAGTAGCCGTTTATCTTGCACTTGCTGTAAGTGCAGGGCCGGATATATGATTTTGTCACCACAAGTTTTGAAAGCTGTATCTTTTTTTTTTCCTTCTTGTTTTGTTTTGTTTTGCTTTTCAATTTTGTGTTTAAATTTACCTTCTGAAACAACAGATGGAAAAGCAAAAAAAAAGCCGTCACTTTCAAAGTCTGCTGCCCGAGACTCTAGCCCTGGAAGGCCCCCTAAACGTACCTCATGTGAAATGCAATTTTATTTCTCACTTGTCTCATACTTTCATTAATTTTTCCCGCAATCCATTTAGTTTTGAATCTACGCATCCAAGAGCCACTATCACTGCCCCAGAAAACACTTAATTATCTTGATGTTGTAAAACTGAAAGGAGTAGGACAGTTGAAAGGGTCTGGACCCTTCTCGTAGGTTGATATTGTTGTGCGACAAGGTAATTTTTAGAAATGTCTGATCATAAAACCTACCTTTTCCCTCCCATGAAAAATTTTGGGCTCTATCTCGGTTAGCACACGATAAATTAAAAAAGAACTAAAATGGCCCACCACGAAACATTACCGTATCCTAAGTTAGTTTTTTCATTTTTATTTTTGTTTTGTTTTGTTCTGTTATGTTTTTTTTCTTTGTTTTTGAAATTTTATTGAATTTTTCTAGCATTGTGTAAAAATATCCTTTTAGAGGAGTTGAAGAGGTAGTTACAGCAAGATCTTTCTTATCGCCCGCAGAATATGAGTTTTTAGATCTTTTTATTTGCTTGCAATGATGACTCTGTAGTTAAGGGCCAAAGAACATTAACTAAATTTTCACTGACATTAGAAATCAGGGAAAAACCATGTGACCGCTCCATTGCTTGCCTAGTATTTTGCATGTATTCTGGGCATGGTGGTATGTATCATTACCAATTTTTTTACACACAGATCCCTCTCTAGGTCTGATGAGAATGCTAGTAACTCCATTTCTCTAAAATTGTTAGTTACGTCTTTTCGGCTCTTAACTACTGAATCATGCCTGTTTTTCTCTAGATGGTCATTTCTTCGGGCTGTAATGTTCATGTAGCCACTCGACTATTCATGTTTCATTTTAGGTTAAAAACTTTATTGAAGCCATTATTTTCTTTTATATTGTTAGCATTTCACCTAAATCAAAAGTGAAAATTATTCTTATTGAGATAAAATGCTAGTTGTGAATTTGGCATTTTACAAAAGCTCAACGGTGCTTCAGATTTATACACATAAGGATCATCGGTGGAGTTACGAATGCTTTGAAAAATTTTTAAAAACCATAATTGTTATTGTGTTTGCAACATTGCGTCATTTAGTACACCCACTTTTTCTAGGGATTCAATCTGTTTTTCCTCTCCAGCTGTGTTTGTAATACATAAGTTACCAAACAGAAACATTTTGTATCCATAGAATGTTCCTGTTGATGAAGTGAGAAAGGTTTTTTACCCCTTGTGCTGCGTCAGTACCACTAGTTTCTTAATGAATGTAAACGTGGGTCTCTAATGCCAAGTATAGATGTTGAATTGCATAAAGAGCTCCATGTTTTGGAAAACCGTGGAGTCTAATTTTAGGTAGAATTTTAGGCTAATTTTTGCACAAATAGTTTACTTGACTGTGTAGTGAATTTTTTTAATGAAGAAAGTAAAATTCTTATTTAATTCTAGTTCTTTGAGAGTAGATGAAAAGCTATTGAAACTCAGGAGAAGGGTGTATAAAATGCTCGATTTTGTGATCCGTGAATGGCTACAAAAATGAGCCAAATCTTGAGTAGTGAGGCAATCATCAAAAGTGATGACCTTTTCATCACTTTGAAGAATTGAGGTCAATCGCACATTTTGCCCTCTATTCGGACATTTTGTCATGAAACAATGGATTTTTTTTATGAGCTAGAAATTTGGTTGTGAATAAAGATGACAGTGACAGTGGTCTGAATTTTGGAACTTTTTGCATCCCTGCTCAAATGGAGTTCAACATTTCTGTTCAGCATTAGAGACACCCTTTATTTTTGTATAATGCACCCTGCTCTTTAAGTTTATTGTATAATAATATTTATAGCTTAAGGCTAAAGGATCATCACCACATTTCCAACGATTCCAGATATTGTAGATTAGTAATATATCAACCGCTTGGCCTGCGATGCAATTTGCTGTCTTTGGAATGTGTAGATCATTCCTTGCATCAAATGTGGTCATTTTTTTAATTGTTCAGAACTTTCTGTAGGCGTGTCATGAATACATAAGACTTGATCTTCTTGAAAATGTCAGCCATGATCCCGTGGCTCCAAGCTACAAAGTATAGTGCTGTAAAGTAATGTTTATCTGAAAATATAGATACTTGAGCTCTGTTTTTCATCCTTAATTAAGCATTGTTTTATCATCATGTGGGGTGTTCATTCTTTACGCCATCAAAAAGGGTTATTCATACATTTCCCTTGTTTCGCGGCCGCCTATCTTGCTTCAATATTATCAGCTTATGGGAATGTACTTGAATTGTTCCAAGAAAATGTGTTGCATCAAATCTTTTTTCAAGAGGAAAAATATATTTGTCCAAGAGAAGCGGTCACCCGATCTCGAGCAGACCGCAGAGCTTGAATATTACACATTTTAAACATAAGTTGCAAAAATCATCTTTAATGGAAAATAGGGAGGAAAGCTGGTTGAATAATGAAGCATAGACTTGGTTAATATAAGAACTGGAGGGTGGTTGGAAAGGAGAAAGATCCTGCAGGCCTGAGTGAGCGTTGAGCACGCGTAAAATGCAGCCTCTGCCTGGTACTAATAATAGAACTACAACGGCAACACTGCCGTGCTAAGGAAGAACGCCGTATGAACACTCGTGAGTTGCCAAATTTTCTCCATTACAAGGATTAATTTTGAGGAGGGACATGGATATTTTTTCCTGAAATTTTCAGGTAATTTTGATCTGATTACAAATAAAATTATCTGTAAAACTGGAAGGAAACTATTCACAAATTTTCCAGATAATTAATATTTTATCAGAAGGAATTTCGTAAAAGTCTGAAAGTTCATACGGCGTTTTTCCTTAGCACAGCAGAACAGCACGGCGCCCGGTGGATCAAGTCAATCAGAAAAGTCTGATATGAAATATTTGACTAAAACTGCAAATTCTGATACTTATTTTGTCACATTTTCAATGACAAGGGGTGCTTCCTATAGAAAATTTCACGAGGAAACCAATGAAACCACTTTTAGAACCTCAAAGTTCTATATAAACAGAGTTATAAGCGTTTAAAGTTTCCAAATTTTGTCCGACCTCTTCTATTGACTCGATCCACTGTGTGGCGGTTGCGCGGCTGGGAGCATCGACGCGGGCTCCGCCACGTGGTTTTAACTCTTATTCAGTGTCTCGCGTCCACATTATTCAGGTGACTTTAGAAGAAGCGTTGATGGTGCTTAGGTACTGAATACAATATGAAGGGGGGGGTAATACTGGGATGGTCAAATGTCAAATGTGTTTGATGTTTCATTACTTGTAGAAGTATTAGTCTTTCTCTTTTCATCGTGATACTGCCTCAAGTTATTTTCGAAAATTGAAATTGTAAATAGAATTTAAATTATAATTACTGAATTAGCCAAAATTCCCTGGCTTTTCACATGGACAATTTGCATATAAAGATATGAAAATGAGCAATTTTATTTTACATTAATTCCACTACAAATGAAAGAAACGTGTGAGGTTTTTTCTGCAGGTACTTAGTAATTATTCAATTAAAAAAAAATTACAATTCCTCTGTTCACTAAGTTTGACTCACAGCAATGAGTCCCAAACCAGACTGGCAATGAGACTAAGTTTGATTTGTGGACATGCAGCACTGATGTTTTTTCAGTTTCTAAATTTCAAAAAAAATTTAAAATCCTGTCTCTTTCATAAAATTTTCTGACTTTTCCCTGACCTGATACGAATTCCTGACAATTGGTCACTAAATCATGAATAAATTTTGACTTGCGAATAAATTCTCCAGAGGTAATTGAAGCAGGAAACACGATGCGCACATTAAGAACGCACAATAGTAGGTAACTCCAAATCGGAGAAAAACACAGTTCAAAAAAGAGCAAATTTCAAGCACCCCAGTTTCGCACCGAACTGAATGATGGGCACCAATCAGAGGCAAGCACGGGTTTCTACGACTTTCTGTCAAATGTTTTTTACTTCTCGCACATGAAAAGAATAGAAAAAAACAATTGTTTTTTGAAAATCAAAGAATCGAATATCATTCATGTTGTAGAGTACATCTTGTATTATAAGTTGTAAAAAAAAAAAAAAAAAAAAAAAAAAAAAAAAAAAAAAAAAAAAAAAATTAAAAATGGTAATTTTTATGAGTACGGGAAAAGAACTCGTAAATAATCAGAGACGTAAAACTTAACGTAAAACATTTGTGATTAAAAGACGTTAAAAAAATTGGGTGATTGAATTGAAATCTTAACGTAAAAAATAGTCCGGAAAAAATTCAGAGAAGACAATTGTCCTTACGTAAAAACAGTAGTTTCTGAATTTTTTTACTGACTTTTTTCACGTAATAAATCACGACTTTTCTTTTTTATTTCTTCGAAGATCTATTTTCTTTGTAAAATATTTGGTCACAGAAATTGAAAAATTGGGGGAGAATATTTGTACTAAAAATTCGCAAAATTGATCAAATAGGAAATACCTTTGTAGTATTCATTACAAGAAAATTACGCAAAAAATTCGAATTTCCTCTGAAGATTTTTCGAGCCCGATTATTGGATGCGAAAAACACGTTGTTTAGAACGAAGAAACCAGAGTTTTTAAAAATCTGAGAAGATTTTAAAAACTTATCTTTCTTTAAAAAATTTTCAAAATTTTTAAAAAAAAGTTGATGCATTTTATAATAAAATTTAAGAAAAGAAAAAGAACCATTAAAATTTACATACTTTTTTTTACATATTCATGAACAACATAGGTACTTTTGAAAGTATGCCATTTTTAAAATATCCATGATAAATGACACAAACACGTAGGTAAAATCACCGAAATTCATACTTCGCGGTCTTTTCAGAGCGCCGTCGACGGTAACGCGATCTCTTATCACAGATCGCAACTTGAACCCCTGTGTTGTGTTTTGTTTTGGTTATGACTGCTCGATTTTTATTCCTGGTATCCTGGTGTCCAAGAAAACGGAACCTAAACCGGCCTTTATTCAATAGTAATACCAATTATTAAAGAAGTGCAATCCATCAACGTGTCGGAATCAGCTCATTTGTTGGTGAGTTTTAACTTCCTTGTCACTTTCTTCACTGCACAGCTGTAAATTCTGTCTCATGTCATGGGACAACATAACGTTAATCTGTAGCGAGCCAATTATTGAAAGTTTATGACAGCATAATCAGGTATTGGAATGTAATATATTGCATGGTCAATATAAGGCTGTGTCCAGTCTTGTCATGCTGGTATAGTTTCAATAATTGGGCCATAGGTCTTGTTACATGATCAAAACAGCAAGGGCAGACAGTCAGCCGTGAACGCAGGGTAAATATTCTTATTCTGCAGCCTGATCACGACTTTGGCTCTTCTATTGAAAGCAATGGAACAGGTCGGTTCCTTAAGCCGGCTCCAGACTAAGTGGCATTTGCTGAGTTTTACTCGCCAAGTCCCGAATGTTTGGCAAGTCCTGCGTAGTGTAGATAGAACATTCGCGTCGACTCGCCTCGTGTTGACGCAAGGCAAGTAACGCGGCTCGGTATTCGCTGCAACCCGCTCGGAGTCGGTTTTTGTGACACGAGTCAAAGGGATCTCGTGTGCGAAGCCGAGCGTCCATCGCCACATCGAGGTGCCATCCAAACTACTCGTCCTCACTCGCCGAATGTTCGCTATAGGTATCCAGCATTCAGTTGATGTTTTGTAGGAAGGAGGCGAAGAGGTGCAGCATATTCTAGTGTTTTTTCCTTACTTAGCGAACATTTGTCTTTTCTTATTAGAAATTCGTTATTTCCCAAAGAACGAATTATCTTTTTGCATTCACATCTTGCGTTTTCACTGCTTCTCAATTGAGTATTTCTTTTGAATGAGTACATATGGCTATAAGCATGCTTCTCTGGAGAGAGGCCACAGGAGTGTAGAAAAATTCACCACTTGATGGTACCTAATTTGTGTTTCTTGCAACACTCAATTTTCGTGATGATGCGAGTTGGTCTTTTCTCTTTAAAGATCCAACTTTGAGGCTCTCTCATTTTCGCATGTGCCCAATCTCAACACATTAGTCTCATGGTTAAGAAGTTTTTGCATCCCTGTGTAAAAATCCCACCAGAAATATATCGTAATGTATTCTTGTCATTATCTTTCAGGTAATCAGCAGGCAGAATTGTGAGAGTTGTTGAAGTGATGGATTGAGCGGAAGTAAAAAAACAGAAATAAAATGGACAACACGGTGTTCGTCAAAGACATCCATGCTGGCATGAAAAATATCAACATTACTTTCATTGTTTTGGATATTGGTCTCCCTGTAACTCTCAAAGAGGGAAGAGAAGTTCGCTCATTGAAGGTTGCTGATGCAACTGCATGCATTAATTTATCTCTTTGGGATGAGCCCGGTCAACTGCTGATGCCTGGGGACATCGTCAAGCTCACCAAAGGTTATGCTTCCATATGGCGGAACTGTCTGACTCTATACTCTGGCAAGAACGGTGATGTGGAGAAATTAGGAGACTTTTGTATGGTATTTAATGAATCTTTAGACATGAGTTTACCTACCTCTAATTCAGTCAATCAAAATTCAAGTTGTAGTTTTAATAGCACTGTAAATAATGGGAATTCCAATAATCGTAGCTCAAACCCCAAAATTCATGAAACACATGCGACTTCCAACAATGCCGCACCTGGCAAGTTTACGGAGCCTGCCGGTAAATTACCTAGCAAGTCTACCTCCCGAGGAAGAGGATCCATGAAAAATGCTCCCAAATCAGAAAGGAGGTGATCCTGGTATTTTAAACTTGTTTTTTTCCTTGTTTGTAGACAATTAATTTTCCTAAGCTATTTGTCTTACCTTCTTTCTGATTTCTTAGCTTTTATCAATTCATTTTCTCTTTAACTTATCTATAACTCCTGAAACCAGTCTGACAAACTCCATTAATTGTAACTGTTTTTAGTATACAGAAGTGATAAAATTAAATTCACTGTGAGCATTTATTTGAGTTGCTGTTTTAAATTTTAGTTTAGAAAGCTCATAGAATGGGTTAATTTACAATTAGCTCAAGAAGGACTGAGCAGGCATCTATTCCTCATCATTTTTGGCACAAGAAAAACAGTGAGGACACGCGAGTCTTTCAAGACATTGTCCCTGCTGCAAAATAATGCTTGATTTTACGGTCCTTAAAGTCCTTGAAGCTACTTCACTTTATTTCTTCTAAAATTCATCTTTCTTTATTTTCAACACTGCATGAAACTAATACAAGTTTGTATTATTTAGGTGAAATTTAATTATTTTAATAATATGTATTACAGATTTTTAAAAACTGTTCTATTTTGTGAAGGTCTCTTTAACTTCTGTCTAGTGCATAATGTATAAGATTCATGTAGTAAAGTACAAGTTTAAAATGGAAAGAAAATCTGTACAGTTTATCATCAAATTTTTCTTCTGCAAATTTTCTGGCGTATTTAATGAGTAACACTAATGGATGGTTCCTGGGGGAGAAATGAATCTCCCCCTCTTCTCAGAACTCTTGGATCAATCTGTATGTAACCACATTAAGGGGAAAAAAGGCTAAAAATTTATCTCTGTGCTACATCCAAAGAGCGGGAGATAAGAAAATTGTTTTGAAGGCACAAAACCAATGAACCTTAACAGAAACGTACTTTTCAAACGTTCTAATTTTTTTGTGGTAATGATTTGTTTTGATGTCGGGCAAGAATCCCTTTTTAATGTATCCACTCACCGTCAAGGTGAACGCCTTTGCTTTGTAAATGTTTTATTGGCTTCTTCAAAGTCATCATTAAGAAGTTACATAGCATGAGTGAACCACCTACAATCATGGATGATTTAATTAGTGCTAGTACTTAATTCAGAGATTTTTGTCTCCAATTTTTGTATAGGTTAGTGTGTATTTCACAATATCAGACCTACGTAAAGCTTAGAAATGCGTGCTGCATTTTAAGAATGTAAATATTTATTTTTATTTTATCTATTGTATCCCCTCAGCTGTTATTGTTATGTTTGCCTTGTAAGTCTCTCTGTAAAAATAAACAAATATACTTTCAACATGAAACTGGTAATTTTTGACAAACAATTCTATTTGATTCAGTCTTAGTAGTAGCAAAAGATTCGTGAAGGGAAGCTGAAGTCCAAGAAAAAAATTTATTTTCTCCATAATTGAAAGTTTTTAATTCATTTTCGAAAAAAAGGAATTACGTTATTTTTGTTTTCCTTGACGAAAAAGAAAAGAAAAAAAAATATGTATGCTCTTTGGAGTGAGAAACATAGTGTGCACCATGGATTGTCGGATATTTGAACTGGAAAGTAAGAGTGAAATCACACAAAACTTAACCAATTATTAACAACCTTTCAGTGAAATAAAAACAACCTCAATGTAGTAAATTAAATAAACTCATTTAATTTATAAAAACTCGATAAAAATTAACAAATTAACTATAAAAATTCAGACTGGAATACCATTATTCCTTTAGGCACCAGAATTAAGAAAAGGAAAAAAATCCAACAAACTTAATGGGAACAAAAATAAAGAAATAAAAAAAAATGTGTTGAAAAACTTAGGATACAGAATGCAAGTGAGAAATTATTAAACAGTTTGTACGGATTTAGCCCGAATCGGCGTTACGGTGTGATGGTGTCAAATCTTTAAAGTTCTATTTTTTAAACAGAAAACTGGCAACACTGAAACCTGAAATTTTTGTGATGATTCACAAACAAATTTAAAGGCCTTTTAGTTCTCTGTTGAAAAATGAAACATGAGAGACTCAGACAATAGTATCTACATCAGAAAACAGGTTATTATAAGACACATTTTGACAATGATACATAAGACGGAGAAGCTGGAGCTTACCGAGAATGTAAGAAGATGCGGAAGGGTCTGGGTGTGTCAGCGTCAACTCTTGAAGCTGTGATAAAGAATTATTTTCAATGTTGTTGATGAGAAATTCAAGTGAGGGAAAACCAGCAAACATGTTTGCATAATTTTTTAAATGTTGTGGGCATCGTGCACTAAAATAAACTCAGCATAGGAAAGATGAGAACACCCAGTCCAGGTTAACGACTTAAGATTTATAAAATGATGTGAAAAAAGGCTAAGTAACGGTGGAGAAAAGGAGTCCTCTTGAAAAATTGCCCTCTGTCCGAACCGTGAGCTAACAATGTTGGGACAAGATGCGGGTAAAATCAGCATCGACTCATCGAGAAAAAACTGATCATCATCAGATGATAGGTCCAATGATTCGATTAGAGAGCCACAAGAGATTAGGGAACAACGAAAAGCTGGGCCAGAAATAAGATCTAAAAATAGCTTTAAAGTTAAATCATCTAAATTTCTCATACTACTTTGTAAATGACAGAGATCAGTTGCAACTTTTATCGCTTGCTAAAGCAAGTTGAGTCACAGAGGGAAAATGCTTGCTCAAAAGAATTAGGGATTTATCCTCTGACTGCCATTGTAATGGATTAATTTTATGCTTAGGAGAATCTTCCACACGTTTCAAAATCATATCAAGCAAGTTTAGGATGACACCAAAGAGAGCATCATGAACTTTCTTCCTCTCATTAATTTTATTGCTTCAAAAGTACAGCTAAAATCAGAAAGGACTTTATCCACATATTTCTATTATCTGAAAAAATGTGTACCCTCATTGAACCGACAGAAGTTTCACTACAAATCTTGGGCATTTAGGTTACTTGACACAATCATGATATTTTTTAACTTATGAGGAACTTAATAAAGAACATAAACAATTTGATCACACAGCAAATAGATCATAAAAATAAAAGTCTCAGTAACTGCTACTGAGTGAAGGATGCTTTCAAATGTTCACAAACATCTATTGTTTTTGGCATTGTTGAAAGAGTAACTTGACCTCCATCATCAAAAGAATTTCCTCCCCATCTCAGAGAAAATTAATAACGATACATGGTTGATAAATGTAACGCTAAAAACTGAATAGCAATACAAGCAATGAAAACAAGCCTCTCAAACATATAACTGTGTTTCACAATGATTAAATGTAAAAAATGCAAAACTCAATCGCAGTATTGAAGGAACTTCGATTATGTTTCACTTTCTTTAGAGAATACTAATCAGCATTTTCCCTTGCAATTTTTTAAAAAAATTTTCAGTATTGTAAAGGTTGAGGTATGAGGTACGCCGCTACCTGACTCTCATAAATATAATTCTAGACAGTGAGAAAGTTAAAACCATGATTATATCAAAACAGGATTTGATGATACGATGTCTCTTCAATTTCACTGATGATTCACTTCCATGTCAAAGTTATGGGTAACATATTGAAGTTCAATAATGAATCTGCCCTTGAAACACTTTCACAGTGGATAATACATTTGGAGGGTGAGGAGGTGGATACACACTTTGTGAATGATCCTTGCTTGTTGGAATAATACAAAATTATTTTCTTAAATTTACACCTTACCTAGTTTAATTTTTTTCTATAAGGATGCATAAGTTTTATGATCACTTTTTTAACTGATTTGTTAGATTTCAGTTGCCGAGAATATCACAAGTCGACTATAAATTGTACTGGCTCTGAAGAGTAAAAATGTAAGTATGGACAACTTTATGGGAAATATTAATATTATATTAATATTAGATTTTAATCAATAAAATTCGGCTAGAAAATGAACTCAGACAGGTTTTTGATTGGTCTAAAAACTAAGCTTTAGAATTTTTCGAGAAAATTCAGCTGCAGGGATTTGCAATTTGAGTACTTTTTTTAATTTAATTACACAAAAAAAAACACAATGAAGCAATTAATTTCCTATGAAATTTTCCAAGCTAAAAAAACTCTCAAAGAAAGGCTCAAAATAAAGGAGATTGTCAACAAAATCCACTGCAAGGTTGCCACTGCTAATGTATGTGTTATGGAGAGTTTGACTGAAAATAGAGGTGGACTCACCTAAATACAGGCAATCCATCACAGTCTCAACATTGAGAGCTTTGGTTGAGTTTGGGAGTTTGTTTCAGAAAAAACCAACACCATCCTATTTCTTGCAAAATTTTATAAAAGAAAAGTTCTTGCATTGCAAATCTCTGTGACATGCAAGAGCTAAAATTAGAGCGTTTTCCTGTTTCTCTCTCGGGTTGTGTTCCTTTTCCTGTGACCCTTTATTATTTTTTTGTACGGCGGTAAAGTGGTTTAAAATTCTCAATATGTACTTTTCTTAGAAATTGCAAGTGTAACCTGGAGACTGGGCGACCAAGCAAGACACGCTAGTGAGACGTGCAGGAGCTCCCGTGTCACATGGGAATTGAAGTATTGGCGCTGAGGACTGGCACATTGATAGGGACAAGTACCATTTAAGATTCAATATGTTTGCTCGCACAGGCATCTAAGACCTGCGGCTATTTGTATTATCATTTAAGTTTAGGCAGTCATTTCCATTTTGGAACTCCTAGGAGTGCTATAAATAGAATCACATACAAGCTTTTGAAAAATAGAGTGTTGATAAAAACAGAGACATCCACACTTCACAATAATTTAACATCGTAATTATTTTCTTTGATAAATGATTCCATAGCTCTTCTATCGTCAGAACTTAGGTTGCAAGTAATGGATGCAATTCTTTCAAAATTAGCTACAACAAATTCCAGCATCCCTAAACTTATTGTGAAGTTATGAGAATGCATCAACCTCAAGTGCTCGAGCTGCTGCAAACGATTGGTCTCGAGGATAATGAGTAAAAAATCATTAAAAAGGATTTCGGCAGCCCGTTCAGCTTCAACGTCGATTTTCTTGATGTCATGAGCGTGTTTCAAAATAAAATTAGCGTAACAAATTTGGGAGCAAGTGATCCAGGTGAGCGACTTTAGCTTCGTGAAAGGCTTAAATGGAGGTTCGATCCTGGGTGGAAAGAAAGAGTCTTCATCAAAAAACGCTATCTGTTTGAACTTGAGAATTTCAATATTGGGACAAAGTAATGGAACGGTGCTCATCATCTCGTTTAGATGAGACTGAACTCCACACAACACATCCAACTCGGTAATAAGTGAGCCGCAAAATAGAACGGCATTCTTGAAAGGTTGATTACCAATGGAAGGAAGAATTAGATTCAACTTGCTAAGACTCCCCATCATCTGAGGTATAATACTGAAATCAAGCATTCCTTGTTGATATTCTAAAAACAGTTCTGATATCGAAGGAAAGTATTTACTTAAGAGGATTAAGCTTTGTGTGTCCAAGTCAAAACAGCGAAAACTTTCGATTAGAGTCGACGAAAAAGGGGCAATGGAATCCTTTGAAAATTGAGAGTAGGAGTGCTGAGCAATTTGATCCATGCGAAGTAAGGCGTTTCGGAGGATATATCTATGTCCATTGAAAAGACACTCAAAATCTCTCAGTTGACTTGAATCTGATTCTGTGAGGAACTCAGCTAGCCCTGCTGAACTTATATGCGTTTCTGAGAGGTGTACTTTTCGTAAAAAACGGGACTTTTTAAGGCATCTAACGCAGCTATCTGACACATTTGAGGAGAATTTCACATCCAACACTTGAAGAAGTGGACAATTCAGCGCAATTATGTTAATAATCTTATCTGTACAAGAATAGAGCATCGTAAAAGACTGCAATTGGGACCACGAAGAACAGCGCGAAAAAATCCTTTTCCGGAGAAGTTCTCTACTGTCGTCGGCTGGATATTTTTGTGTGCTTTGGAAAATTTTCACATTGAGCAATTTATCGTACTGCTGAACGAGATTATGAAAAATATCATCACTCCACTCATCTGTATTGATCATCAACGGCTGAACACTTGAGAACACACTAAAAAGATGATTAGCTATTTGTTCCCTATACTTGTAAAATTCATTTGGTTTCTTCCCGATGCTTTGAGAGTATATTGACTTTAATCCTTTGACACAGAGTTGTGAGAGGAACCTGGGATGACACCGGAGGATGTGACTATTGAGTAGAATGTTCAGGGTTTTAAGCCGTTCTATGCCATTGAATTCATTCGAAGGAGATGGATCTAAAATAGCAGATAGAGTGGAGGCGCTTACTATTTCCAAAGATAAATCCTGTAGTGACGGTACTGCTTTCTTCGGTGCCATCTCCGGCGGGTTAAATGTTAAACACTCACCTGCAAAATAATAAAATGCATTAGACTCTATTAACACCTTTCATTCTCATTATGAATACCAAAAAGCTCTCGTAATTCAACTCTTCAAAATGAGTTAGAGACAGAATCTATTAGATTTTTCAAGTTTTTATTGTAGAATGTTTCAGTCCTCTCCAACCAAAAAGTTACGAAGACAATTATAGGATGCAAAAAATACAGGAATCCAAGGACTTTTGAGGTCATTTAAGAGAGGACAGGTAAAATTTTAAGGCTACAACTTTTTATTTTACAATTTCAAGAATCATTTCATATTTTGAGACATTCTCTCTGATTCTTCAACCATTCTTATACACTTGACGGACATTAATGAAATAATCATGGAATATCTGATAAGACTTTGATTGGCTGCTTAAAAAAACTTTAGGATTAATTTTAGGTCATATTTACATGATAATTTGAAGAATACTAAAAATTGGGTTGATCCAGAGAGAGAGGGTTGGTAACGGTACATCTGGAGTAATTTCTCTTGAAAGAGTTGACTAACATTTTTGAAGCCATTCGATCAATAAGAGCGTTTGGCTATTTACAACTGTAAGGGCATCATGACGGTCTAAATCTCGTAGACCAATTGAAAAGCTGCACAATTTTCCTGTATTTAACAGATAGGAATGACCATGTTCTGTCTATATAGGTACTATGATCTACAAAAGAATTGAATTATACAGGTATGCAAAGTAATGAAAATAATGAGAGTATTTTGAAAGACTGAAATATGTGAAACATGGAATATTTGTAGCACTCACCTGTGTTTCAAATATCAGAGATGATATTTTAAAATCCTGAACTGCCAGAAGATGAAGATTTCCTTCTTTCTAGCCAGAAAATAATCTGAAAATGAGGAATTGAAATTCGTTAGTTTTAAAATGAAAAATTAGCACACTTATTGACACAGAAGGAAATCATTGAGAATATGTTACAAAAGAGCATTTTTAGTGCCTATAAGTGGAAATACTAGACAAAGAATAATTTTTTCAACAAATCAATTTTGGTAGATAGGAAAGAATAAGAACAAAAATGCAAAAAAATAATAATTTCAACGGGCGAAAAGCAAAGCCTCATATCTCCATTGCGATATAACAAAATTTCCGCTTCAATTTTATTTTATTTTTTTGAAGAGAAACAAGCCAACTTTGAGGCTTGAAATTTTAGGAACAGAATATTTAGCTAACAGAGAGGAAAAATCAAAGTTGTTTTCACGAAATTACTTGGGTAGACTAGTTTCCCAAAGAGGATATAAAATATTGCAGTGAGTCTGCAACGTGGCTAATGAAAATACTTACATGGTTTTGCACTTTTGCCATTTTTTTAGAATTTTTGCAAAACCCAAAAAAGTTCTTCAGTACTTTCTTCCAACAATTTGCTAGTTCTGCCATACAGTCACTTGCTAATATATTTACTCATTCTCACTACAATATTTTTCATCAAGATTGCAAGCTAAATTCAAATCTGTGGAAATACCGGTACATCTAGCAAATACTAAAAAATTGGCTGACAAAACTTTTTCTGGCCAGTAAGCAAAGTATAAGGGACAAGCTGTGCGGAAACAATAAAAACAATACTGCAATGAACCTGGTTCAGAAATAACAGGCCCTCACCAAAATCAGGTGTTGCAATTATCTGTGCGCCTGAAAATTCCCTTTAGGTAATACTCTCCATCTAAACTCATTGCCATGACCATAGTGGAGTAGCTAAGGATTATGGAAGGTTACAACTATTTCTACATAAAGCTACAGCTCTGCTGCCTGACTTCAGAGTCCCGGTACACTAAGTTTGCACACTTTTAGAGTGCAGCAGGATATCTACCACCTAGATTCTCGTATCTACTTTCAATATTTATTAAACTGGAGACAGCTAACCTTCTGTCCCATTCTAAATGTGTGAAAGGTTCATCGGCAAGGACTTTCATGCTGTCCTCTGCTGGGCCCATTACCCACCTACTTTGTTATCTGCTAAATTTTGGAGCTCATTGATGCAAATCTGAGTGGTGTATTCATGAAGGACCACTGAATGGCTTAATGCTCAATTGCAAGGCGGATAAAGAATGGTGGTTGCATTTCAATTTTGGCTGCCATCTTAAAGCGTTGTGACGTCAGGAGAGTATGGGTTTTGCAAATCGTGCAATTCAAGGTTGAGCTGGCCCCCCCAGCCTCGGCCGGCCCATGTACCCGATACTACGTGACGTCCAGAGGGTACAAATTGCGACCGCCATTCTTTATCCGCCTCAGCTCAATTGAAAGATACTCCACTTAAGACAAGGCTGTGGGTATTTAGCTCCAGACTTCCAGGATCAAAAGCAGCCATCTGAAGTACAGAATTTTGTTGCATGAACCACACAGTCAGTTCTGGTCAGATACACAAATCGACGGAGTAAGTAGGCAATCACATAACACTGTTTGCCACGTTGCAAACTTCCTGTCATATACTATATTTTATAAGCGGAAAATTACTCAACGGTGATTCTTTAAAACTGCTATGATTTTTCTTCTCTGTGCGAGGAAAATTCTGCAAAAACTTCAAGGAATGATGTCAATTTGTTCTCCTTTAAAAAAATAACATGGAGGTGGAGATTTTCAGACGCCGCAAACGAGATATGTGATTGCAGACTTGCGCCATCGAAATGCAAGATCTGGAGAGAGCATACATACTACAATTCGAAAATCAAACGGCACTTACATTCGGACATGGGATGAAAATATTTGCAGCCCTGATTTTATGTTGAAATCATTGCAGAGGAGATCTGTTTTTTCAGCTTCCCAAGGTTCCGCTTAACAGTTGACCAAGAAAAAAGCGAGAACGTGTCCCAACACTAGGATGGACAGATAATGCTGGTCGGTAAAGCTTGTCGACTTCTCAAAGTATAATGTTAAGCTAACAAAATTAAATGAAAAATGTTCAGTCCGTCACAATATTAATATGCACGTGAGAGAGTGTGATAACGTAAACTTTGCCGCTGTTTCCATATTTTCCGACAATCGAACAACCAACAGGCACTGACGTTGATTGCTGTTGATTCGGGAACAGTGTGTTTAGTGATAGTGTTTACCACCTCGAGCAAAAGCAAAGATTGAAGATTGGCAAGTGTCAAAAAATTTAGGAAAATTTTATTCAAGTTTTCGCAAGATGTGACATTTGCTTTTGGAGTTTCCTTTTTTTATCCAGGTCTCCGGACAAACCTCGTGCATCTATGAACCTTGTACTTTTTAACAAAGTTAATTCCAAAGTAAGTTCTCCATATTAACCTCATTCACTGTTACAGGTTGTTGAGTTGCGATCGAGTTCCTCACTTATTATTTCTGGAGTTCATTGAATTTCTTCTGAACTTTCTTTAAACTTCTTTTACACACTATCTCGCTCCAATAATGAGCTCTCCCTGTCCTATTTAAATTTTCAATTCTCCAGCCTGCTGAGACTAAGACAGCTAGTTTCACGCCATTTCATTGAATCAATGAAACTGACAGGAATTTTTGTTTAGATGCCTTCGTACCTCTTTTACTTTCTCCATGCAGTGATCCTAGGAATTTATCAAAACTGGAACTCACCTCAACATTAAATAATCCAAGAATTCACCGCAGCTTTCTTAAGATAGTCAAATAAGAGGTACTAACTGTCCTAAATTTCGGTTGTAAAAAGTTCACGTCTCCCGTATCAGATTTTTTGTTGTTATAATAATACGAAGATCAGTGATTTTATTACGGCTAATCAAGAAAATCCTCTAGGTCACAAAAGAGTTAAAACTAGGAGAAAATAAGTACAAAACTTCTTACAATGGATAGTAAATATTCCTCAATCCAAGGTATTCAAAATTGAGAATGATTAAAACATATCCCAGCAGAAGTGTCATTATTTTACTTATCCAACAAAATTTTAGGAGCACAATATTAATTGAATAGAGTGAAGTTTGTCCTCCATTTATTGTTCAAAATGGGTCGAGAATCCTAGAAAAATCTTAAATCTCTTATGGGGCAAATAAAAATTTGCATTCTTGATAAATATGAATAAGTAGAAGAGCCCCAATTGAAAGTTTAACTATTTCCTCCTTTATCATCTTCTTGAACAGTGCCTTATTTTATGGTTCAACTTTGCAAGCCCTAATTCTTCAGATCAAATCCTCTGTTAGCTTATCTGACGTCATTTTTAATTGTTTCAGGATCAAGATCTGAAACAAGGCAACATGTACTCTGAATGGGTTTCTCTGAGCGATGCCATTCAGAATGAATGTGGGGATAGCAGAAGTGTCTTGGACAAATTTTCTGTGGGCGATGGCAAGAGTGTAGCAGCGTCTGTAGTTAAACAACTGACTTACAATCTTGGCATCACACAACCGCCGGAACCAAGTCTGCTAACAGATGATCGAGAGGTCCAGTGGTGTATGGAGGTGACCTAACTTTTTTCCTTTTTTGAGTAGCCTCTAAATCTAACTTATTTGAAACTGAAAGAAACCTTTCCCTTGACCCCGAAGGGTCGTCCGTTTTTGCTGAACAGCCATTTCAGGAAGAGAAAATAGTTGGAGTAAGACTGGAAGACTCTAGACTTATCATTTTATCACTATGTCATAAATTTTGCATAGGCTCGCTTTGTCAAACTAAGATGAAGGAACAGTTTCGAAACCTTGAAATGAAACATTTCCATGGCATAATGCTGTCAATGGAGAGAAGAAAATCTTAAAGAGAGTATGCATACTTATCAAGTTTTTCTCAGATATCGGAGTGTCAACTTTGTTTGCAAATTCCCTCATATGGGCAATATTCATGGCAGCGGCTTCTTCAAGCTCACTGACCTGAGGTCAAAAGAATATTATCTTGGAGGGTTTCCGAACTTGCTTCACATAAGCTAGGAGTCATTTATTTTTTGTCTGCAAGTGATAGCGCTGCCATTGTCCAATAACAATTGAAAATGGCAGCAGACACTGCTGTAGCTATACTTGAATATGCGCAATGGTCTACTGCTCTTGAAAGTCAAAATTAAACGACTGCTAACTTATCTTATGCGTCTTCTACCTACTTTGATGAGAACTCGAAAATTGCCCCAAACATAACCAAAACCTTAACCTTTTTCATTGATTTTTTTTTTTTTTTTTTTTTTTTTTTTTTTTTTTTTTTTTTTTTTTTTTTTTTTTTTTTTTTTTTTTTCTTTTTTTACTTCTTCAAATAGCCCACAAGGGCTAATCCCACGCTTTTAAGTCCCATCCCCCCTCCGTCCCTACTGAACCAGTCCCAGGCAACCATTGTTTGAGACCATCAAACTCAGGTCGCCTGGCCGGGAATCGAACCCGGGACCTCCCGATCATAGAGCAAGCGCTACAACCACTACACCATAGGAGGCCGACTTATAAGCAGCTTATCAATAACTTTTTAAGTCTACCCATCACCAATGGGATTTTAAATGTTGCTCTGATTTAATAGGTCATTTGTCATGGACTTAGTCTACCTCTGAATGAGCCGGACGTGATTAGAGATTGCGTCAATGTATATTGTGACTGGTTATCAGCCCTTCATCCAAAACCAAAAATCAGTGTTCCAAGACCGATTTGTGAAGATCCCAACATGTATGCCAGACGGATCATCTCTCACTTTCACAATTTGTTCGTCCCCCGCAAAGGAGAAGGTATTTTTTTTTTTTATTTTAGTGTGTCATCTTTTCATCTTATCTTTCATCAGATCTCTGTCTATATACCAACATAGTTACCTAAATATAATGCTTCAATGGAGAATTTGCACGCAATTTTTTTATTGCTTCATCTGAAAGTGCCTAATGAGCTGAGTTCGCAATATTTTTCATAATTTTTTTCTGACATGGGAAATTGGAAAAAAATTGATTTAAAAGTGAGAAAATGCGCCGCCTTGTGACGTCATCTGGCGGCATTTCCCATTTAAACACATGTATTTTAGCAGAATCGGTTATTTTGTCATATCTCCTCTAATAATCGCTCAATTTATGAATCAAGGGTATCTTCGTGTTCAGTTCACTCAGAGGATTCCACTTAAACAGGAAATTCATCAAATTTCAGACCCTTGCAAATTCTCCATTGTGATTCTAAGTGAGCAGATTAGCATTTTTACATCCAGTTTAAACAGATGTCTTGATGATCTCTCAGGAAAATTTCCTGAGGAAAGGCTCTAAGAAAGACCAAAAATTTTGCTGCTACCTGTAAGATTTTTAGAAATTTATTCAAAAAAATAAATACAAAAGAAGAGGGGAAAAAATGAACAACCTATTAAATTAAAGTCTCAAAATATTACCAATTTTTTTCCTCTTCTGATAAATCAAAAGTCTTTCACTCCCTCTCAAAATACTTGCTGTCGTGTTTGAAGACATAGGTATGAGCGTTCTTCTCATTTTGAAGAAATTTTATCTGAATTCTCCTTTTCCAACGTTTTTGAAGCAAACATGTGCCTAAAATACGAGGACTTAGTCTCAGTTTTTTCAGATATCTACACTCCTGAAAGCCACTTTCACAGCGCTATCTGGCCAGGGTGTCTAGCATCAGAATTTTCCCGATTTTCCTGATTCTCTTAGGATTTGAGGAAAAATCCGTCATAAAATCAGGATTTAAAATAAGTTGGCAGTCCGATCGGATTTTTTTTATGCTTTCATATACGTTTAGCAGAAATTTTAATTTTTCTCTGCAAAAAATCAGGATTCGAAAAAATTATGAAATCAGGATTTAGTATTAATAAATCAGGAAAAATCAGGACTTCCCAAAATGAAAAAAAAACTAGACACTCTACTGGTGCTCTTTGATGCTTAACTGCCACTGTAGCACACGCACCACAGGATGAAATGAGAAAGTGCCAACGTCCCAAAGGGCTGTGGAAGAGCAGTTTTAGATTATCCAAAAAGTTAAACCGGAGAAGATTGAACATTATTTTCTCTGTTACCTATCTTTTTTCCCCTCTTATGTGATTCAGTTTCAATGGCTTAAATATTGGTTGGATGGCATTTTGCAATAAGGAACTATCTTTTACTTCTGGGTTTTTAAAAAAAACAATGTATTTGTAATGTATTGTACCATTAGTTCCCCTATCCAGATAAGTGCTTTTATAGATGAACCCAAAATTCTACATAGTTCTTTATTGCAAAAGGAAGTTCGACTTCTGTGGTTGCACTAGCCTACCAGACATTCTTTGACAAGGATAAGGAGGCTGGTTATTATATTGAGATTCAGGTGATAAATCAATAAAACCTGACTCGTTTTTTCTCAACCAAGTGTTTATATATTTATTGAACTTTATTTCAAGTCTGGCCTTTTTTGTATCAGGACAATTTGGGTAAGTCTCACCAATGGAAATGGTAGTTTTTCAGAGTTTTCTGTGGTCTGGAAAATATGCAAAGTAAGGGAATTCATGGGAAAAGTTTGAGACTTTTGTAACTTGTGTGTCTGCCGATGCTAGTCAAGAGAAGGTGAACAAGGAGGTTTAGGAGTTTTATTCAAAGTATAGCAAAGGAAAGAAATAGCATAAAGAAAAGAAAACAAAAAAATCCAATTGTAAGTTTTTTTTGAGGTTAGAGAAAGTCACGGAATTCGGGAATGGAGTCAGGGAGAAGCAAAGAAAGTCAGGAATTCCGATATTTTGGCAATTGTATTATGAAAATTTTTTGAAAATCCTGTTTTATATATTTCATTTTTCCATGGAACCACCTCATATTAATTCAATTACCCAGAAGAAGATCACAGAAGCCCTTAAATGGAGAGTTTCATTTTGGATAAAAAGCAATGAGCCAGAAGAGTAGGGCGTAAGTGTACATACAGTGTACAAAAACTTGACTTTCAGGGTGATTCGGGGTGTCAAAATCGAAAATGCAATTTTTGAAAGGATACCATAAAATGCATCATAGTTAAGTACGAAAACAATAAGTGTGTTACTTTTCACAATAAAAACTGTGTAACATTTTTATGCAAAGAAACTAGTGAAGCAAGCAATCCTATATAGACTGTAATCAGCTTAAAAGGCAGCTTCAAAAAATGTGGAAGCTGCCTTAAAAATCTTCAGGAAAAGATTTTCTGCAAACCTGATTCCTACAAACTTAATAAAAGTCATCTATCTTTTTTAACCAGGTGCTGATACAATCAATAGACAGGCTGTCTTGTGTCATCGAGTCTTGCGAACATTACAGCATCTCGCCCAAGTTTCCTCCTCTCTGGATCGAGAAACGTGGGAGGCTCTCTTAATCTTCTTACTTTCAATCAACAACACTCTGCTCGCTCCTCCAACAGTTAAAGGTTTGTCATCTAAATTCAAAAACTTGTGCGAAAATTAAATGTCACCTCAGTCTACAAATCTTTATAATTAACGTATAAGTGTACTGAAGGAAAGCACAGGTATTTCCTCAAGTATTTATCATATCAACGATGGTACTCCAGGAAAGCGTATCTCGTTTGCAGAGATTCAAAATCTCTGCTTTCGGGTCATAACGTGAGAGTAGATTCAACCAACTTTTGCTTGAAATTTTCACAGAATATCCATTACGTAGAGAGAAAAAATCAAGGAAGTTTTCTAGTACATATGACTAGAAACTTGCAAACCGTTGCAACCTGAAAGTATGCATTTGCGCAGTTTCACCGTCCATATTCATTCTGATTCATGATTTTTTCGAATTTTACTTAGAAAATTTACCAAAAATTAAATCTATAAGAAATTAGTACTTTTCACAAAAGTTAAATTGCCAAGTTTTGGGTCAATAGTATCAGTTGAAAAATTGACCCTCTCTAAGTCAAGATAATAGGAGGATATTACCCCTCTCCGCAACTCTCTACTTGGTCTCAAAATTGACAAACGGTCTCTGGAAAAGCACAAGACTAACCCTGCTCTATCACCCCAGCCAACCGTTGCCTAATACCATCAAACTCCAGTCACCTGCCGGGGAATCACACCCTGGACCTTCTGTTTATGGGTTCAGGGCTACAACTATTACACACAGAAGACCGAAGAAACCTGTAACTAATTTCAACGCAAGTTGACATCAAAAAATCTGAATCACCGTATCCTAAGCATTCAAAAAGGGGAGGAATGTGGAAGCAAAAAAAAAGAAAAAGAAAGAAAGTTTTCTTCAGAAAGTGAGGAAAGGGGGGTAGTTGCCTCACTTTTTTACCCTTTTTTATCATGCGTTCGAAAAATAATGCAAAATAATTCAAATTAAATACTTGACTATTCTATTTTTTTTTTTTTTTCTAAATATTTTCCCTCATGAATTTTATCCTCTCAGATGATGTCGGAGACCAACTTTGCGAACGTGTGTTAAGCGTCTTATTAGAAGTTTGGCTGATTGCCTGCGTACGTTGCTTTCCTTCACCGCCTTTGTGGAAGACACTCCGAGAGATGGCCATGATGTGGCGTCACCGAACGCCTCTCATCGAACAGTGGAATCGGGTCAACCTCATTCTCACTGCAAGGCTTTTAGATTTTATGTATGGACCCTCGTTCCCAGAGCTGAAAATGAGTAAGTGCAAAATTTTCTGTTCCTGCTTTGTCAAGCATTAGTGCGAGATCAACAAGAGACTCTTTCATCAAGTGATTTTTCACTGTAATTTCAATTTTTTAACTCAGTATCAGAGTGAATTGGATGTATCAGGCTCCTCACATATGTATTTTTTTCTTTTATTCATTGCTTCATTAATTATTTTTACGCCCAAATTGGGTTTGTCGGCACGAGTCGCTTCAACACTGCTAGGTTTTCGGCTAACATGCGCTAGAGTTCATTTTAAAAGTGAAATTCTCATTTTAGAGGAAAAAATTCATCCAAGCAAAATTTCTCTCATAGAGAACTGCGCAACTTTCATTATGACTATCATGAATAATTTGCTCACGTCATGGCGGCTTAGGTATAGGCGGCATAGGTTTGCTTGCGGCTGTTGCCGCATGCCCAAACCTTAGACTAGTTTTCAAGACCTCTTTAAGCTTGGAATAGGAAAATCAAGAGGCTGTGCTCCACTGATGATGGGTCCCATGAGACCCAAAAAGCGTCTACAGTAGCCATACCAGGGTTGCCACAGCCAGAGAATACGGGGAAATGTCAGGGAAAAATTGTTGGGTCACCTTTATTTCCTGTCTACATTAGGTCCAATGTTTCAAACAACACATTTTGCCTGAAAACTTTTTTAATAATGTCCTATTAACCATTTGGCATATGTTCAATTGTCAGGGAATTTCACCAGAATGTGTCTGGGAAATGAGGGAAGTGTCAGAGAATTTCATTTTCTAAAGTCTGTAGCAATCCTGCATCCTAATTGGTCATAACTAGTGTCTCGTGTTATCATGTTTTTGTACTAATCAGTTCATCATTTTATAAACGTGGACTTGTCTGCTCTATCAGGTGAGGAAGATATGCAGTTAATTCCCAGTGAAATGTCGAATGACTGCATTGCTCAGAGCTGGTATCGTTTTTTACACACGATTGGTAATCCTGTGGACCTCTGTCGACCCCACGTCATAAGTCAAACACGCATGTTCCTTCAATACGCTCTCACTAATAATAACTCTGACCCAACTTTACATCCTTGTCTGTCCGTTCTGCCCATCAATTTCCTGAAAGCCATAAAAGGGATAGCCAGTCAAGTCGATGCTTTTCTAGGTAAGTAAGACCGGTTCACATCTGTGTAACCGAGTTTGTCTCTAATTTATTTTATAATACTCTATTAGAGCTATAAGTCTATCAGGCATGTGTCCGAGAAATCATACATTTAATGAGTTAATTTGTGCACATCTTGTATATCTTCCGCTGTAAAGTCTGCATTTTCATGCTTTCATCTCCACCAGCACTACGGTTTGCCAACTAAGCCAAAGATAAAGCAACCAAATGGCTTTAAGCAGCTATCTTCCACTTTTTCTCTCTTCTGAACCAACAGACTAGTTTTCTGTAGAAGATGTATTCTATGTATTTATTTATTCTGTAAAACTATCTTTGTTTAATTGGTACCGCTCTTTGTCACATTTTACTCTTCTGTCATTCTTTTCCATTTCTCCCTGTTAAGGTGTGATTATAAGAGTTTTTATTAGCATATTTAAAGTACAGACATCTGGACGCTGCTCACTTTTAAACCTCAGACTGCTCAATTTCTTGAAATTTTCAATTCTATTAATTTCTTGTCTCTACTTGAAGCATGAGAAGAAAAGAAACCATAGATATGACTCAAATTTGGGAAGTAACAGAATATCAGAGTAGTCCTGGATATGCCCACACGGGGTAAATAAAAAATACCAAAAATTACAATCAGTGTTACAAAATGAACTTCAATGAGTTTGACAGGAAAGAGTGTTTAACCTAGGCAGGTGCATTTGAAATATTTTGCCGGGGTCTTACTGCGAGACTTGAATTGGTTTTGCTCTTATTTGAGGACATCAGCAAGCCAAACTTAGACAAATCCTACCTTACCATTCAACATGCCCTAGCCAGTATTGAATAACCACCGTGGATACAACGCGAGGCGTGGTTCCGGAGTTCATCCTTGCGCCATTTGCCATTATTGCTGAACAATACTCAAGATATTTCTGACTTTGATTTACCCCTGAAATATCGCCAATCCAGCACTAGCCTAACATTCTATGGCATCGTTTACTTCTTCTTTTCATTGGCTTCTTGGCCTTAAATTTAGTTCTATGTTTATTTGGTAAACCTATTTCTTAAACCGAATCTATTGTAAACACAACACATATCAGATTTTCATGGTAGATTGTTTTTCAACCTTGCAGGTATTCAGCTCTTTCTATATTTTCATCTTGGTTCACTCCTTGTGATATTAGTGAATTTTTTCAAAACGCACCGTACAAAGTATGCACTTTTTACTAGAATTAGTCCCAAGCAACTTGGGGGTAGCTCTCTACTGCTGATAAATTAATGCCTTCTCTAATCACTATTAGCAACCAATGGTTGTAATTGAACTCAAATTACATGTAATTGAGGACAAATTACAGATTAGAAGATTATGAATAGCATGAGCTATGTTAGATTATGGTTCTCATTGGGGAGCTCAAAGGTATAAATTCCCGAAAATTGCAAAAGAATAACTTGCTGTGGGGGTCAGGGGGGGGGGGGGGAATCCCCCTTGACTTCCCAACTCCCTGAGCTACACCTCTGTTTTGATCACATTTTATTTTTTCTTTAAGTCACTATGTAAGAAATAATAGATATTGCTTTCATGCCCCTGGGCTTTTTTATGAAACTTACCTGAATTATTCAATATGGTTTTCTTACAGAGTCAGTTACATGTTTTGATCAATTACTTGGATAGATTTTTTTTTTTTTTTTTGGGGGGGGGGGGGGGNGCACCAAGTGTTAATTTTTCACATTAATTTGTTTGTATGATTCAGGCTGATTGAACTTCTAGCCCTGCAATAATGGGCTCCAAAAATTAATCACTTAATAGAAGCGGTTGTGAGTTTAACCAAGCTTCTAACAATAGCTAGCAACTAGTTTGACTAAAATTTCTCATGCTCTCTGCCGCAAAATTGATCATTAAACCTGTATCTAAGTGTGAAAAATGCGTATCTCAATTGCAATGTTTAAGAATCTCCCATTATGTTTTATTTTTTCCATGAAAATTTAATCAAAATGTCTCCTTTCAATTTTGATTGATTTTTTTTTAGAATGAATGAAGAAAATTCATAGAAAATTTCAAAAGGAACTGTCCGTTCATTTTTCTTCAAACAATGAAACATAATCAAGACTTACAATGTTGCAATCCAATATATGGATTTTTCAACTTTACCCATCAAATGTTCTTATGTAAATCTAATTTCTCTTTCTTTTTCCTTTCTTTTCTGGTGCTTGGTTTTACTATTGTCTTTGTCTGGACTCAGGAATTCCTTCTACTGTCGTTTGGGAAGTCCCCTCTTCGGTAGCCGAGAAGGTGAAGCCCCCTACATTCTCTCCTACTCCCCCCTCTCAGCGACGTATCTCAAAAAGTTTTAGCGTTTCTTCTTCTGCAGTGACAAAGGGTAGGCCATGGTTCTTTTTCTAATTTCTAGTATTTATGCCTAAATTTAGTGAAAGAAAATTTCTTCTCATCTCTTTCACAAATCAAATCTTTGGTAGGTTACATGAAGGTAGGGTTATTATAGAATGAGTCTGTTGCAAACTTCAACTAGAGTGAAGCCAAGATTTATTTATTTTGAAAACTGGCTCAAAAATCATGATGAGCGCTATGATAAAGAATATATCTCCTTACCTCTCAATTTTCGTGAGACATTCACACATTATTGAGCTTCCTCCTTCAAGATGTATACCGCACCGAAGACATTATTTAACTCAGATACAAATCCTAAAATAATTGCTGCAATCTGAGGCAGTTTCTTCTTTAAAAACAAACAAAATACATACTTTCTCTCTTCTTAGAAACTGTATCAATTGAACAGCAGCAGAGCAAAGATGTTGGACAGGAGGTGTCTGCTATGCTTCTTGTTCTTATTAAGGAACTATGTCATTTGATGACAGCTATTTTAAGTTTTGTAAGGAATCGTGAGATTTGAGTCCTTCATCTGTATCTTTGTACTTGCTGTAGGTTACTTTTCGAAGCAGTAAGTCCAAAAATGCGTGAATTTCTTATGCAGATTCTGGGGGAAGCAGTAAAGTTCAAACAGGCCGTTAGACAATTCCGACTGAAAATTTCCATGCTCTCTTGACATACTTTGATATCTTGAGTTGCTCTTAATTTTTAACTAACCTTATTTTGTATGGTTGATTCTATCAGCATGAGAATTTTGAATGAACCAACACATTTTAGATTTTTACCTAACCTCATCTGCAGTGAACCAATGAATCTGAATGGCAGGGACATCATTGTGAAAAATATTTCTTGTCCTTTAAAATCTTGCAGGAGGTTTATCTGCAAGTTCTTCTCTTTTTCTGTAAACGTTTCTTTACCTTCGATTGTTGCTTGTAATTTTCAGAAGTTTAAAAATATTCATTTTTTAGAAATACAAATGAACAATAGATTTTATTTGTATATGAGGCTACCTGTCTGAATAGAAACTGATTGCTTTACAAGAATTTAAACGGATGAATTCCAGTGTAACCATTTTGTAACGGATTTCTCTTGCCTTCGTCCTCTTCTCTATCAAATTGGAAAAACATTTCTATAAATGGGTTCTTTAAACCCTATTTTTCAGAGTATCATCTGGGGTACCTTTATACATACCTTCACCTACTTTCTCACTTCTTCTTCGTAATTGCCACTAATATTTACCTCTCTGCTAAACAGGTATTCCTAAAGCATCATTAATTGGAATAACATCTAGTCGTCTCCCAAATTCAGGGCATCCATCCACTCCAACAAACTCTGGACCATCATCTACCTCTAGTTTAAGCTGTAAGTTATCATCAGCATATTTTTTTGCTCAAAGTTTTTATGCAAATGGAACCACTAATGCTAACGAACTCAAAAAATTCAATTGCCTTCGTTTTCAGCCGAAAAATCCAACAGATTACCTTCATTATTAATAATACTTTGCAACAGCTTGTCGCAAAGTATTATTAGAACAAAACAGTTGCTCCTTCAGCATAATTGCCGAAAAATTTTAATGAGTACATCAGTGGCAACAAGCTCAAAACATTCACTGTTTTGTGACATAGTTTGAACTTTACTTAACGTCTCTTTCTAGTTTCTAAAATCGCCAGAAATAGTCATTCTTTCTTGCAAAATGTAGTTAAACTCTACTTTTGATTATCATGTATTGTGTAAACTTCACTTTAGTATTCTATTTTACATCGAATTTATTAGATTATGCAGAAGAATCTTCCTGGAAGGTAGAAAAAAATGTATGTGTTTTACAACTAAGGTTTCTTTACAAATCCTAAACATCTTGGAACCTAACTTTCATTTCCTTCATCCACAGCCATGTCCTCAATCGGTCCAGAGGCCCGAAGCCTGTTGGCCTCCGCACGCCCCAAGTGCAATAGTATTCTGAGGTTGTTCGGTGAATGGTTATTTGAAGCTGCGCAAATTGGATCTGATCTATATAAAACTAAACTCAGCAACATGAGTAAGCCCTGAATCTTTTCATAATCTTACTTTAACTCTCTTAGATTTAATCATTAATTAATTTTGGCTGAAACATGCAAAATTCGTAACTTCAAATAATTTTAAATATCCCTAAAATTCATCCTCTGGGGGTCGAAAATCGACGTATCAAGAATTCATATCAGGTCCTTTAAGGAATTAAGACAAAATTTCAAACTTGTTGCTGTTATACCATTAATTTATTGCTGTCAAAATAACAAAAATTGTAAAAGAGCAAAGATCAGGAAAATTTGAGGTTATTTTTTGTTTAACAGCACACTATTACAAAAGTAAACAAGGTAACAAAACTGACAAAGTCATAAATTACAGTACGAAATAAGGTTCAAGTTGGCCTCACTAATCTTATGAAAAAGTCCGAAAATGCGATTTGATGTGATGATATTGAATATCGTGAACATTAATGCCAAGTCGACTGACAGCTCAGAGTCATTGCTGTAAGTCAATGGGTCAATCGATTCCATCGTTATTTTACCTTTAGGTACTACCAAGTACAGAAAATAGTATTCAAGTACTTAAGTATGTAAGCTAAATTTTTATGCGTCTGAAGTATTGGAGATTTTGTAGGATTGACACTCGAATTGGCATGAATGATGGTCCATATCTAGGAGAGGTATAGAAGGAAGCTCAATCTTTCTTTCAACATTTTTTAAAAGACTGTCATCTCAATTTTCAATACTATTCATCCAAACTGTGTAAATTACCGATGGATAAAATTATCCGTGTTTTATTTTTCTTACATTACCAAAAGCATATTGACAACTGAGGAACAATATTGCCTATCCGCCAACTAAAAATTTTCAGGACGAAAAAAAATTCGCTATTTTTTAGATTAGATTTTTAATTTTTGTGTACATTACAGCGTAATTATAGCGCTCCCATGCGGAATTAGAAAAAACTTAAAACATTTGCTTGCCTATTTGATACTGTAGAATGCAGAAAAGTCGCTAACTCATTTTTACATAAATTGTCTGTTAGGTGGTGCTGTTCCTTAGGCTGCGATATGTAGGTATGATGTATGAGCAAACTACTGGTTGTTTTTCTTTCCTAAACAATTTTCACTCATTTTCATACCTTATTTTCTCTCTTTTATCTTCAGAAAATAGCAGCTCTTCGAAAAGGCCAAGTTCAGTCATGATAGCAGAAACAGCCAGTATCAGCAGCAGTGGATCCACACGCAAAGGCAGCGGTAGCCTCAATCTGTCCCAGCCAAACTCTTTAACGGAAGAGCTAGACATTCCAGCAAATCTGACGTCTGATCGCTACCAGTCAGGGCGTGCCGAAGCTCTTGGCGCATTGTGTCGAATTTTCTGCTCCAAGAAAACCGGAGAGGAAGTCCATCCTCTATACTTAGCCAAATTTTATATTGCACTTCAACAAGGCCTTAGAATAAGTGACGTAAGTTATATCTTTTCAATTTTTGTGTTCTTTGACCTTGCAGTCATTTTTCAAGTTTGATTTTTATTGTCTGTAAAATTATCCATACCTAGTAGCTTTTGAGGTAGGCTTTTTAACTAATCTGTTTGCCTCCGCTATGTGTTTTGGTAACCTTTTGGGCAGCTTTGGAGCTCCAAATCAACTAAATCATTAGATGCCATGTGTGAAATTGCCTAAATATCCAGCTATGACTCTCCAAAAAAAAATAAAACATAATCGGAGATTTTAAAACGTTGCAATCGAAATACACTTTTTTGGTTTTAGCCTCCTTCATAGGGAAGATTGTATTTGACAGGTACCTTTACCAAAGAATCAGGAGAACATCAACATTCTTCGAATGGAAGATCGAAGATTTTTTTCCCCCTTTTTATCTTCAAGGCAGGAATGTATTTTCAAAATGTGCCTTTGTAAAGAGTCAATGAAATATTTAATTCATGAATTTACATGTCAACAAAGCACAGTTTTCTTTCAAAACACACATATCATTCCCCTCATAACTTCAACCCGACTGATTTTTCTGAACATGGAGATAGCATTTTTTAGCCTTCAACACAATAGCCTTTTTTGTTTCAATTTTTTGCTTGGTTAACTTACTTTTGCCTACCTTTTGGTTTTACAGAATCGTGAGTGTGATGAAACTTTAGCATGCGCTCTTTTAAACTCATCAGACCTTCTTCGTTTGGACCTGGACGGAGTGCATCTCTTAGTCCCATTCATCATCGACGCTTTAGAAATAGTTTTACCTGAAAAGGAGCTCAAAATCAAGTAAGCACAATAATTTCCAAAAGGTAGTTTTACTTTTCTCAGAAAATTATCCTCACCAAGCCGTCTTATCACCCGGCCTGGTGATGATTAGCACAGCCTCGTGAGCATCGGAGTTTGAGCCTCAGGTATGGGTGGCAGGAAAGCAGAGAGTGGCAAGAGTGGACTTGAAAGGAAGGGCACAAGTAGCGCCGCACAATGATGCGGCCGGTGAAACCTCAATTTACGCGCATAAAACGGCGAATATCTCGAAAACCGCACATGGGATCTCTTTCGGCCCAAGAGTGCTTTTGATCAGAAAGACTAGCCGAGAAACATATCCATGTTTCATCAGATTTAACCAGGGGGGAGGGGGGGACGGATTTCCTATAAGCCTTTTGCTAGCCACCCTGCAAATTCAATTATTTTATTTATACAATTTTTCTTTCTCTAAATTTTAATTGAACGTTAATTTGTTTGTTTCAGATCTACCATTTCTAAAAATGAACTACGAAGGGCATCAATTAATCTTTTGCTGTCAATGTTAGTTCTTCCTCTTCATTTTCAGGTAAATATAGTCAAATTTTTCAATTCCATGTTATTGTGAAAGTAGAGGGAGGAGGGTTTGGCTTTTCAAGCTGATAAACTTTTGGTGTATGCTTGTGGCTGCTCAAGATAACAGCCGGTATCTCTTAAGCACGCAGGCACGGACGAGGAACAGTAGATTTAGAGCTAAAGTCAGAATAAACTGTGGCATTAGCCTGCGATTTACAAATCAATATGCTTTTCATCTCTCAAATTATTTTTCTATTTCCCTGTAAAAGCCACCCTTACATCCACACACCGGGAGTTCTATAATCTAAAACTGTGCTTGCTGCACTATGAAATGCGCCAATCTTGGTATAGTGGATATCTCGGGCTCCTAAATTCTTTTTAGGAGAAAAAAACGTCATCTGTTCTTTTTTACAGTAGCAGCATCAGTTCTGGAAGAGAGATGACCTCCCAAAAACAAAATTTCTTAATTATAGGATATTATATGAATGAATTGCTGAATCATTACTGAAATACCTTTTGCTTAAAAATGAAACTTACATTTCTTGGATTTTCAGAATATGGTGATCAAAGAATTAAACTCGACTGTGATAGGACGAAGTCCATTAAGATTTATTCAATTGAAGCCCAGACTGATGAACCTTCTGATCAATGCCTTACAAGTGGAAAAAGATCCTCAGAACACTCAAATGCTCCTAGGTAAACTGATTATTCTACATATATTTTCCTTCTCTCTCCCTCTCTCCACAATAAGAAGAATCCTTGCTACTTGAAATACCATACTGTAGTGGGTACCTGATACCGTCCCATGTAGAACTGCGTTGACCAGGTGATAACGCCCAGTGTGGCAATTTAATGTAATGGTTGATACCGGTCATTTGCCATGCCTGATCATAACCACCTCTCAAGAATAATTATCACAGTCCCAGACCTTATTAATGGAGATAATTCCTCTTTTCTGCCGTGTTAAGGAAAAACTCTGTATGAATGTTCGAGAGTTGCCAAATGTCTCTGGATAAAACATATCTTTAAAAGAAAAGTTATGCATATTTTTTCTTGAAATTTTCAGATATCTTCGATTAAATTTCGTAGAAATTTGTTCGAAAAATTTGAAGGAAAATATTCGCCATTTCCCCTGTATATGTATTTTATATTGAAGGAAACATGGCAACATCTGACGGCTCATATGGCGTTCGTCCTTAGCACGGTAGTTCCGGAATGCCCTCTTCTCTTACTCCCATTATCCATGTAGTTGTGTCACAGCTAAAAATTGCTATTGGACCACTGCACAAGGTGTGAATTCAAGCATTCTGATACATGTCTCTCAACTGAAATTTCGCATAAAACTTGACTTGCATGAAGAAAATTATGAGAATCAACTCCTGACTAAAATATTACCGTTTTTAGTGTGCATTTGTCGTGGGAAATTTGGATTCTTCACGTGCACTGTGAATTCAATATATGCTCTGACTATAAGTTTTCATAATATTTTTCAGGTGGGCTGCTTCTTAGTGTCCAAGATTCAGCAATCTTCGAAGATGTAGAGCAGTCTAATCAATTAGATTCAATGGGTGGGAGTGAGACCGCCTCAAATCTTCTTTCCTCCGGTAAAACATTTTGAATATTAATTGACGTCAATTTGATAATTGTGTCCGATTGTTTCAAATTGCTTGTGGTGGGAAAAGTAATTGTAAACCTCAAAACCTGAAAATAATTTGGGTTCTTATGGATGTTTTTGTAATAGAAAATTTGACCTGAAAATTATCATTTTTTACTTATTGAAGGATGCCTGAGTTTTATTTCTGGACCCATATTTTCAAATAGTTTGTTCTGAATTTGATAAAAGTCTACAACCATAAGAAACTCTGAAAACTGCTGACGTACCAACCATCCTTATCTTAACGTAACTTTTACTCCTAGTAAAACTCAGCATTGGTGGAGCAGAGGATCAACCAATCTAAAGTTCTTGTATCGTCATAGTTTACTGTGTCTTCTGTGGTATCACTGATCACCTGCCTAAATTAACAGATGCCGCAATCACACGCTGAATGTGGCTTGAATGTGGAAGTCATCGGCCGGATGCCTGAATTTTACGCGCGATGCGCAAAATTCAGCAACGATTCTCAGCAACCATCGGACCAATTTTGAATTTGTTTGAACTATTCGAGTAGATTTAATACACATCTGGATGAAAAGAACTCGAATTTGCTAAATTTCAGCCGTTGGGCGATGACTGTTGACTTCCACATTTAGCTGCTAAATTCAGCGTGTGATTGCGGCAAGAGAAGATATGCACTCCAGTTTAATGCCATGGCAGTCTCTTGTTTTTATGTACCAACTGTTTGTCCAGTATGTTATACGCTTGGCCTATTGTTGTTTGGCTTTTACTTGTGATATTTAGAATTTTTTAATTTTTTTTTTATTATTTGTTGTTTTGATTTTTTTATTCCTTTTTTTTTTGTCGCCTTCTGCTGCAAAAGTTTAATATTTTCTGTTTTTTTTTTTTTTACCGTATCTGTTTTTCTTGGATTTTTCAACCATGGTCTTATCAGATTCAATGAGCACTTTTAGTTTATCGAGCGATTATCGAAACCACGGCCATGACGGGATGCTTACAGACGGCAGTTTGGATTCGGCCAATTTCATCCTGAGTGACGTAAACGATTATCCGTATTTCCTGACTGCATCAAATAGCAAAAGTAAATATTTTTCTCATCAAAAGTAACTTTTTATCTCTCGCACTCTTCACTCTTTATTCCGTTGTATTTACTAAAAATTATTAGCCTCCAAAACACGGCATAGTAATTTGTCAGCTGTTATTCCTGAAACTCGGATTTGCGTTCAGACAGTGTGAACAGATTTCCTATCCTTTTATCATTTTTCTCTAAAGCTCTAAGCTTTTACTCTGTCAATGAGCTATCGGGTGGTTTAAATTGTGTCTTCTCTGAGACTGAATAGCTGTCTGCCAGCCTCCAATATTTTACTTTCTCCTCTTTTTTGGTTGTTATCTACAGTTTTCCTGTTATATTTGTACTTTTTCATTTTTCTCGTCTTTTTCGTCTTTTTTCTTTGCTGACTTGTTCCACAGCCCTTCAAGATTTTTATGCATGAATGAACAATTTATTTATATATTAATTTAGTGTATCTATCAATAAGAAACAGGATCCTTGTGTATAGTGGCAAATTTTTCAGATTCACAAATTCTTGCTAACAAGGTGTAAATATGCCCTCGCAGCCTTTGCTCTCACTTAATCAATTTAATTTTTGATGCGAGTAATTAGTGTCTATAAATTTGCAGCTAATTAATTTACATCAATCATTGAAACTTCAATCAGAAGTGAAAACTCAAGTAGTAGAAATCTGATGCATGTTCCTAAAAATACCCTGATATTTAAAAATTTTACTGTAGTCTGACTATATTTGTCTCTCTCAGTTGAAAATATCAAGCTGTTTGAAAACGCTGTCTCAATTCCTCAACTGAACTTGACTATTTTGTTGTTTTCAGATTTTGCTCATGCCTTATTCCGTCGTGCCACTGATCTCGTTTGCCATTGTTTGATCTATTCTTGGAAGACTGAACTCAATGTCTCGCTAGCTGCTCTTGAGCTCTTGTCTGGACTCGCTCAGACACATATCAAAGAGACAGGTAATCATTGAGTCTTGTCATGCTATCGGCAATAGCGTTAACTTCTAAAGTCGTTGATACTTAACACAAATTGAACTATTGCTAACACAAATTTGCTGTTTAATAAAATAACATTTTACGTAGAACATGTTACATTTTCATTTAAATTTACTGGAATAAAATGATGAAAAACTTTAAAAAGTGTGTAGTAGTATTTTTACGTAAAAACGAAACAAAGAGTTCTCCTAACTCAAAAATTTTAACAGTTCTTTTAAGAGTTCTCTCCTTGAAATTTATAAGTTCTCCAACTATTTCTATAGCCAATGTTACTTGAATAATGCAATTTTGGGAGCAAAATTAGAAGTTATAAGGTATTTTGAAAGTCTATTCAAAATTTGATAGATGACTTTGATAGAGTGAAAGCAAAACGGTCACTTTTATGTCGTGTTATTATTTCAAAATCTCATTTTTTATTTAAATTTTGTGGAAGGAAATCAACCAAAATTATTTTTACCAATTTTATGGAAATAACCTATAAATTGACAAGATAAATAAAACAATTTTAGATCATGGTTGTTGATCGGTTCTTCTCAAAAATGAAAATAGGAAACGATGTTTTGGAACACCACAATGTAGACGCAACAGTTTTGCTGCACATTCTTCACTTCATCACTAGTGCCTATTCAACGAAGGGTATCTTAGTCAATATTGAAGGTGATTCGATGGACGCCATATTTTTTGTCAGAACGGCATGCAATATATCGCATCAATTGGTTCCATTTTTTCAGCTACTCGTCATTTTTCTCCAATTTTGAGATCGCAATTCTGTTGCCAGGAGACTAAAGCACTCACTTCCCAATTTTAACAAAGGAATTCAACGTAATAAAGGCATGGTTTTTTTAGAGATATCGAAACTGCACTCGAATGCCATATTTTCTCTCTAAAAAAACCTTGCTTTTATTATACTGAATTTCTTTGTTAAAATTGGGAAGTGAGTGCTTTAGTCTCCTGACAACAAAATTGCAATCTCAAAATTGGAGAAAAATGACGAGTAGCTGAAAAAATGGAACCAATTGATGCGATATATTGCATGCCGTTTTGACACAAAATATGGCGTCCATCGAATCACCTTATAAAACTAAGAGTTTGTGTGGATCTAATCATTTTTTGTTCATTCATAAAATTTAATCATCTTGATATGATACTGCTACCACAACTTCGCTCTTTTTTCTCTCCAAATCATGAGCTTTGAGCTGAAGCAAATCTTTTTATGTATGAAAAGAAAACTTTTTATCATCTTCCATCTGGGATAGTATTTTAGTTCTATTTCTGCTTCCGTTTAGATGCTCAAGAGTGCAAAATTATCGTCAAGTGGATCTGTGATTACATTTCAAACCAGTGCTCCCGGCCTCCACCGGCTCATTCAAAAGACTTACACTCAACGATTGTGGCAGCATTCCAATGCACGTCAACATGGCTGATCGCACATCCGTACCTTTTACAAGACAAAGAATCTCTCTCAACAGTGCTGGAAGTTGTTGAATTGGGAATCTCTGGATCAAAATCAATGGTAGAAGTTCAATGAATAATTGTAGCCTTTTCTCATAAAATTTTCTAAAGATAAATGTTCTGCCAAGTTGAATATAAATGAGATGTGGAGCAAAGCAGCCAAGTCGAGGCATTCATAGAAAAAGTTAGAATTCTACGAATAGCATATCGGCTCAGCAACTTCAGCTGATGCTATCAGAGAAAGCTTGAACAACCGGAACAACCTCTGGTTCTTTTTACTACAATTTGAATCTCTAGAAGCGGATTATCTGTCAACTCAGCTTAATGAAAAGAAAAAAATCAAAGTGAAAGTTTCATTCAAAGTTCAGGGAAAAGTCAGGGAATTTGGGGATTTAGAGTCAAAGAAAAGAAAGATTAGTTAGAGAATTTACTCAAAGTCAGGGAATTTGAAAATTTAGAGTCAAGGAAGAGCAAGTCAGGGAATTGAGAAATAAAGAAACTTGGGAAACCCTGTAGTCTTTTGTGAAGGAAGGTTTGTACAATGCAAATTTTCTTTTTAAAAAAATACTGTTTGTTCTTAGCGTTGGAGAAGAAGATAAGGAGTAAACTATTATTTTGCTTATATTGATACTTTTGTAGCAATTCTCTTCCTATCATACGACATCCATTTCATTTTCCAATTTTTACAGGGTAAACCAGGTGAACCTCCGAAACTGAAGGACGAAAAAGACTTGAAACCTGCCTCTATGAGAGTTCGAGACGCTGCAGAGGCTCTTCTCACTGTCATTTTGGAACAGGTTAGTCATTTTACTTTACGTACACAGTAACTACAGCAACTTCAAGTTGTTTAAAATAGCTCCTTTAAAATTCTATAAACCTTTAAGCCATTATATAATGGGCCTGTTGCAAACTTTTGCCAGAGCAAAATTAAGAGTTGTTTCTTGTAGATGATGTCTGAAAAATCACGATGAGCGCATCGGCAAAGTCTGAAATGCACTCATAACTTCACAATCTGCGTAAGAAATTTGCGAAATATTCATCATGGCTGACGCCAATCCGCCAAAACATGTATGACGGGACGAGATAACACCTGACCAGGATAAGACCAGATAACAATCGGTGTGCTTACGTTCATATTTTCCTCGCCTGCCTTGATTGACCTTAATCTCTCCTCGAATTACATGCGGAACTGCGGAAGCATCGCCCATGATGAATATTGCCGACAATGGAACGACTCCTCTGATAAAATTTCACCTGTGCTGTAGTATCGTGTTAGTGGCGGGAAGCTAAAAAAACGCTATTTGCTTACGCAGATTGTGAAGTTATGAGTGCATTTCAGACTTTGCCGATGCTTTTAATCTCCAGCGCGCAGCCATACTATTTAATTCTGCTAAAATGATTATTTTCAAATACTTCCTAATAGTCCTGCAAGTCATCGAAATGGAGAAACATCACTTGACAAGCTCTTTTCCACACCACCTTAGAAGAGCCCGATCAGACTGAGGATGCGGTGCTGCTCCTGGAGGTAGAGCTTTCGGCGCGTTTTTTTAACGTGGTATCGCCAAGAGCCCTAATCCACGGGGGGAAGGGAAGAGGAAACGGGGAGAGAAAACAAAAAATGAAACACTTACCAACGCTGACGCAGCTCCATCTGATACTTCTCCTTGTCGTTTTTTATACTGCTGAACAGCAGCTGTCCCTCTGAAGACGAAAGTAGTGCCCTCATCAACTGATTAATGAAGAGAATTAAAACGGTATCTTACCCTCGGTTGTGGGAACGAATCCACCAGCAGCAGCAGCACCTGAAACAGAAGAAAAAAAAAAAAAAAAAAAAAAAAAAAAAAAAAAAAAAAAAAAAAAAAAAAAAAAAAAAAAAAA